TATAATCGCTGTTATCATCCCACCTATATGTGTCACTCCCCCTCCTATATTATCGTAATTCTCAACATATTTTGGACATTCAAAACCATTTCTGGAATATTTTGTTAGTAATTTTTCGAATCGATCTCTCTTTTTCCTTATATTCCAAAAAACAGGGTGAGTGAGAAAAAATATGTTGATTTCAAATGAAATGATCGAGGAAATGATCTAAATTTTATTCAATAATTTCAATGTTGCGGGGGACATCATTTTCCAAATTTGAAATCTTGAAGCGTAAAGGGCATCAACTCTCGATTTTCAAATGGATCACCCTGTATTTCATTTCATTTTTAGATTGTCCCTGAAGAGCTGATTTCATCGATGCATCACACTTGGTGTCTAGCGGGAATGATTACAGAGATATAGGGTGTTCAAAATCGAGATTTTTTTCAACAACAAGATTTTGTTGTGTCGAAAGTGTCGAAACTATTCATTATCGGTCAAAACGGCTTTCATGTCCCTATTTCAACTTTTGATTTACTATCTACTGATATTTAATGTGAACGAATACAGGGTGGTTCATAATTCTGAATTTTGAACTACCCTGTATTCGTCTAAATTAAATATCAGTAGATACTGAATCAAAAGTTAAGATGGGTACATGTGAGTCGTACTGACCAATAATGAATAGTTTCGGCACAAAAAAATCCTAAAGTTGAGAAATCTCGATTTTGAACACCCTATATCTCTGTTATCATTCCCGCTAGACACCAAGTATGATGCATTGATGAAAGCAGCTCTTTAGGAAGAATCTTAGAATGCAATTAGAGTTGATGCCCGTTATGTTTCAAGATTTCAACTTTGGAATATGATAATTATTGCAGAAAAATATGTCCCCCGCCAAGTTGAAATCGACCTGTCCGAGCGATTTTCGATTTTTTCAACGACGGAGATTTTGGGGGTGACAAGGTTTAGCTGGGACACACTGTATATACTTTATTGAGGTAATCTTTTGTCAGTTTTTGAGAAATATAGTTTTTTTGGTAAGGCAGGCAGGTGTTGAGCCAGACGTTGTTGCGATTTCTGGCCTCAGAATCTATATTTTTCGAAAACTGACAAAAATATCCACAACGAAGTATACAGGGTGTCCCTGCCATACTTCAGTAGCACATTCTCCGACCAAAAATATGAAGAAAAGTTACAATAAAGATAAATCGTAAAATGGCTCCTAAGGAAGCTACTGCCTCTTTAAAGGGGGCTCCTGAAGATGATATTTCCAGAATATTACCGAAACCCCAAGTGATAAAATGATGCAATCCAGTACAAGAACTAAACTTTGCTGCTAACTTACTGCAACACCACGAATTTGGCGAAGATCTTGCTGAACATTTACCGCAGTATTTGATCGATTCAGTGAAATCCGCAATCTCAAGAAGCGATCATCTCTTGGAGAAGTTTTTCGGGGGCGACCAGAACCGACCCTCCGAGCGGTGCTTCCTGATTGTTCGTACTTGCGGATTGTTCTACGAGCAGTTGCTTCATGAACTCCCACTGCACGAGCGGCGTAACGTTCACTACCGCCCATCGTTTACTAACGCAACTAATCTTGCTACTTGTTCAGGATTTATTTGAGGCATTTTATGTAATTTTAGTCAATAAAACAAGACACTTAATTAATGACACAACGACAAATGGTCAAATATGGAGGCATACATATTAGTTGCTATGGCAACGGCATTTGTTTTTTTAAAGACAATGTGATCCTACCAGAGTACAACCCAATCAATTTTGAGTACCTACTCTGATCCTTCAATAAATTTAATTTGTGGGATGAGCGTAAGGTATCAGCAAAAAAGCTGTAATTCGGAAAATTGTAGAGATAAATCAATGGATAAAAAAACAAAAAGCTCGCAAAAGAAGCCTCTTTCGTATAGGGTGTAAGCACTTTGTATACCATTACTCAATTAACAAACAGGGTGAGTCAAAAATTAAGAATAAATCATGGTTTGAGTTATTCCACCACCATCAAGGAGGCTTTGAAAAAATGTTCACCTCTTTATTTTTTTTTAGAGACAAATGCATTACCTACCAACAAATTAAAAAAAAAATTGGCCTATAGGACAAATATCAAGTGCGCCACTTTTTTGGACCTGAGTGTATATCATTTCGTTATCAGATGACGGTCGAAATTTGCACTATTACGAGAAAATCAGATGGCAACAACTGCTACAAGTCGAAGAAATCAAAAATTTCGCCGTTATCTGTTACAGTCGTAGAAAAAGTATAGTGTATAACTCGCACGGAATGCTAATTTATGATAATAAATGATTATCATTCCGTACTAGTTGATAGTGTTTTTCAAGCGAGTTTTTGGGCTATTAATTATAAAGATACATATAAATTAATGATGAGTATGGATAATGACTATCCAAATCAGAATACAAAAAAATTTCGCCGTTATCTGTTACAGCCGTAGAAAAAGTATAGTGTATAACTCGCACGGAATGCTAATTTCCCACTCGTAAACCTCACTCTCGTGAGAAATGACTACCATTTGGTGCTAGTTAATACTGTTAATAGTGTTTTTCAAGCGAGTTTTCGAGCTATTAATTATAAAGATACATATGAATTAATGATGAGTATGGATAATGAATATCTAAATCAGAATACAAGGTAATCCACTTGTATTATTTCCTGAATAATGTGAGTGGCAGCTACAGGGAATTGAAATTTGAAGCGCATCAGGTCAACATAATTTCACTATATATACAGGGTGTTTCCTAACTGCAGGTGGTGATTCGTTAGGTCATTTCAGGAAGAAAAGTTCCTATTAACATAATGTCCGGAGTTGCTTCGTTTCTGAGATACAGGGCGTTGAAACTATAGAAAAAAAACGGTAATTATAAAATACCATGATAATCCTGGAACCGATTTGGTACTCCAGGAATTTTTGATCGTGTCAGACAATCAATGGCTAATCGAATGCGGTCGTGTATTTTATCAGAAGGTGAACATTTTGCTCATTTACTGTAATATCGCAATTTTTAATATTTTTATATTTCGTATTTATTTATTGTTTTTGTTTTCTCTCGAAAACGAAGCTAGATATGATGAAAATACAAGGGACCAAAAAAGTTGTATTTTGAGTTGCTTAATGTAAAAACAATAGAAATTTACCAAAAAAAGTCTGTGGCGTACTTTTTTTTCAATATTGTTGGCTGTGGTGCCCACTGAGACGCCACTGGCCTCAATAATTTTAATCTAAATAGGGCTAAATAAGCGCCTTATTAGTTCAAATGAAAGTACCAATTTCAACCAAATCGGTTCCAGGATATTCATGATATTTTATAATTACCGTTTTTTTAATTTCAACGCCCTGTATCTCAGAAACGAAGCAACTCCGGACATATTATGTTCATGGGAACTTTTCTTCTTAAAATTACATAACAAATCACCCCCTGCAGTTAGGATTAGGAACCGTAGTTAGGAAACACCCTGTATATACGTTAGTGATAGTTTAAATATTAGTAATTCTTCCAATATTTGATTAGAAGTTACTTACACAGTGGCGTCGGTAAAGCAATTACATGACGAATTCAGTGCACATATTTTTTCCTGTTAAATTTCTGCAATTTGAGTTGCTCTTTCTGAATTCACAAGAATTTGTAAATGGAATGTATTTCGCAATAAAATATATGGTTCAAATCTAAAAAAAAAATGACATAAGCTGGAGACATCCTGAAAATCATTAATTACCTACCTATTCTATCTTTAGCTAGGTAGGTATATGAGGAGTATCTTTCAGGATAATTTCATCTTATGTCTCCTAATTAAATAACAAATAGGTATGACCGAATCTAACCTACCTGCTTATGATTTTGATCTTCAAGCAAAGGTGTGTCACATTAATTCATAAGCAATTTTCATTGTTTATTATAAAAACAAATGAACTATCTCTATAATACTAACATTGCCTCAAACACAAGTCACAAACATGCAGAATATTCAATTAAATATACCTACCTATTGAACCAGAGGTTACTGGGTTATTATAAATAAAATGTTAGTACCTAAGTATTACATACCTAAGTATGTAATAATGTAGTATAATTATTCACAAGATAGCTTCTACTATCAAATGTCAAAATCACATTCATATCGAGATTCATTGGAATACAATAGGTACCTATACTTAATAATAAATAAATTAGGTAGGTATATAAAAAATTAAAATTATGGATCTTCAAGAAATAAAATAAATAGTTATCTACCTACTATTATTGTTAAATATAGTATGACACATTGATGACTGAACCATGACCACAGAAGATTCGATCAGAACCAAAGGGGAAAAGCTATACGCTTATGAGTACAGAAAAAAAACATGAGCTGTACAACTTTTCACCCCCCGGGCCCAATCACAGACAAAGACAGATAGAAATAGAGTCGATTTATAACGAACACAATTATCATAATATCAACGGTAATTAGCAATTAAAATCGATATTATGCGACCCAAAAATAAACTCGTTCACGAAATCGGAAACGATACGCAACTTGAAAACGTATTCAAGAAACTTGTACCTATCATTTTCATATTGAAACATTGGCTGTATTACGTTATCAGGTAATACCTACAACAGAAACAGAAGATGCGAGGAGATAATTTACAGATTGATTACGATTGAATTCGGATTGATTAGTAAGGCCCAGTCCAGACGAATCGGAGGTATCAACACGGGCCGCCGCCTGGGATTTCGAGGAAGACACGGGGTCGAATCTCGATCTCGATTGTTATTCCATGACGCGAGCCGACTAGATTGATAAGGAATCGCCCCGACAAGTTATCAATCTAGCCGGCGTATAGAGAACAATGAACCTTACGACCGCCATTTAGAGATGTCCACGGCTTGGGTTGGATTCGGAATTAGCGACTGCCGTATATCTGAATGTCTATCAAAGGTCAACCCCATGACTATTGTTTTGTTTTAGTGCAGAATTAACACAAAAAATGCACTCACCCGCTCGATTTCCATTTTTACACAATCCTGGAGTATTTTCAGGACGCTTATAAATACACAAGCACTTTACACTTAACGTAATGAGTGAAAAGAGACTACTTAATAATTGGTTAGAATAATACAGTTCGGTATTTAGTTGTGGAAACACAACCAATCAGGTGATATCTCAAGAAGAAATGTTGATTTTCGTATAGCCAATAATGGCAAAGGGTTTTCAATATCGATAATTTCACCTACACGACATGTTATTGAAAATTTCACAAAGATTTTTCTCATAAACCAGGGCATGCTAAGATGTCTAATCAACTATCAAAAACAAACGAACTTACCATGGAGCATGAACACCGTTGATCGTTTTTAGACGTTCCAATCCAATCACTATTCGATTTTCACCGTTTTTCTCACTCTTGCGGATTATACTACAGCGGATATCACATCTATTTCAATTTATCATTACTTATTGTTATTTCTAATACTGATTATGTACAAGAAACTAATTAAATTTTGTGTAAACTGCACGTAGAAACGAGACACCATTTTATCATTACGCTTGTGATTGACTGACGCGCCACCTACTCACTTTCGCCCGCGAACATTCGAATTGTGTTCCAACCGAGGTTTCATTTTTACGATCTAAATAATTTCGATTATCAGCATTATCGTGCGATAAAAGAAAAAAACATGACCTCTTATCGCGTAGGCGAAAAGGTTTGGTAACATTTGATTCAGAGGATAATGAAAAAGGATGAAAAAACGAGATTGTTTATGACAAAATTAGAGAAAAGCAAGGTAGAAACAAAATATTTTTTGTGGTTGCCTGGCAGATAGCATTGAAAACAAAAGACAAACAATGAAACAACATATTTTGAGATAACAATCGTTATTGAGGTGGCTGAATATATTGAAACAAAATATCAAGTATAAATTAAAATATTTTCGTATTTTCTTTCGAATACAATGAATATAGCAAGGTGGGGGAGAATGAAAATAATAAGTTTGTGTAGGTGTTGCCTCGAGCGCAGGAATCTATATCGCGCGAGCGTGTAGATTATTGGGCGAGGCATATAGATATAGAATAAGGCAGATATCCACGCGATGTGACAAAAAAGAACACCTTATTAGGTACAGGGTGGACCAAATTGTACAGTGCATCTCATTTTGGGTAAGATAGCCAGGTATTGAGGCGTCTTATTGGTTGTTGTTGAAGATAGAACCTTGCGGTTTTTGCGATCCTGAAATTGAGAATTTGCATTCTCCTTCAGACAAAAATATGTATATGCATAGGTATATGCAAACATCATTCTGAATATTTCAACAGAAAACAACTACTTTCCTGGCTATTTGTCACGTCGAACATTGAATTATATATTATATTCAGAAGTTTTTATATTTTATTTTCAAACTCTTATCGTGTGTGTTCAAAAGATATAATTCAATGTTCGTCGTGGCATATATAGCCAGGAAAGTAGTTGTTTTTTATTGAATAAACTGAAAAAGAGTAGATATTCTCATCACATAGAGAATGCGAATTCTCAATGTATTGCTTCATGTAAATATATATATCCATTTTTGTATTTTCATAATTTATCTGAGAATATTCCTTTTCAACACTTTCATACCCAATCAGGGGGTTCAAACTTGAATGATGGAAACTTGTGATTTTTTTTTAGACCTCTAATCGCAGATTCGTGATACGAGTCTCAATACAGAATTTCTTTCCACGACCTGTATGATGAATGTCAATTTATCATACACCCAAAAGCATATTATAGGCATTTTCAAACAGAAAAATTGACCTGATAATATTGTTCTTCATGGTTTCAAACCCACATATTATGTGGATTTTCATAAGATGCCTATGATGGGTTTCAGAAAAACACGCACATCTAAACAGCATTTTTGCGAACGTAATGATTATTTACTCGGAAACAATGAGTTCAACATAAAAAAGTATAACTTGTTTTTCCTTCCAAATCATGGTTTTCCACCTACCGGAGCCATTGAATAACGTTCCAATATTCGTAGCTGATTTCAAGTCACTATTTATTCGAGACTGAAAATGAAAAAAATGAAGCCAATCCTGTTAATTCGGATTTGGGTGATTTTTTGCATAGAGGGGTTCGAAAGCATGGGGAACAATAATATGTAGTTAGATTTCCTGTAAAAATGCCCAATATAGATTTATGAAAAATCGACCCCTTTTTAGTTCAATAAAAACGCACAGCACTGTCCAATATAATGGGCATCTCTGTAAAACTGATCATATTGATGGTTATTCATACCACACCAAATTTGGTTGGAATCGCATGACTAATAACTGATATATACAGGGGGGGGGGGGCGTTTAAAGTGAGACACGCTGTATATGTATATGCGGTTCTCACCATTCATCAGTTTATCATGCGAGAATTGACCCTCTTAGACACAGACATCATTTTTCTTCAATCTAAAGAGAATATAGGACTTTAATTCCTGTATCCAAATTTGGCCAATTGTACTTTTTCAAAATATTGAAGATATGTAGAGTTGACGTATATGAAACTTGTCTTACTTTCCATATCTACTATTCAGAATAAATAAAAATGATACAATCTAATAGGTATATCTAATATATTGAAATGTGAAAGTTCTGTTAACAGTTTTACGACCTTTACCAGTGTATAATCTCTGGTATAACTTAGGTAGATAATACCTATACTTATTCATATTTTTGCTTTGAATAATATGAAAGATAATTTTACTAAACAATAATGAACATTATTGGGTACAAAATTTTGGTGACAGCATTTTATTATGAAAACTGTATTCTTTATTCTGATAAGAACAGAAACAAAACATTTTTATAATGAAAAATTAAAAACAATTATGCTGCAACTGAGCACTCAATAAAAACCAACCGAATACCCAATAGGTACTAGATTATTTTTTATTCTCGAGTTATATTTTTAATCAGAAATTTAATTAATTTCTTCAAAATGTTCAATATTTTTATATACCTACTAGTATTTACCCTGCGCGCATTGCTATACAGGGTGTAAATTTGAAAACTTTCAATGCGAATATCTCGCGAAATAAAAAAGTTAGAAAAACGCCGCTTGGCAAAAATTCTAATGAGTTAAGGGGAACTAGAACCACCATGTTTCAGTGAAGCGATGAGTCACCCTGTCAGCGCAACACACCCCAACTTTGAAATGTCAAATGGCACTACCTCTTTTGTGATACCTCAAATAAACGGTCTCAGTCAGTAGTATTCACCTGTACAAGACTTTTTTTCCACCCACTACAGGGTGTACGAAAATCATTAATTCGAGGGTCTAAATTTGAAAACTTTCAATGCGAATATCTCGCTAAATGAAACAGTTAGGAAAACGCCGTTTGGCACAAATGCTACAGAGTTAGGGGAAACTAGAACCACCATACTTCAGTAAAGGGGTGAGTCACCCCGTCGGCGCGACACACTCCATCTTTGAAATGTCAAATGGCACTACCTTTTTTGTGATACCTCAAATGAACGGTGTCAGTCAGTAGTATTCACCTGTACAAGACTTATTTTCCACCCACTACAGGGTGAACGGAAAACATATAGTCGAATAAAATAAAATGCAGAATGCCGATATATTCCAAGAGATGTGTTCCAAAATGTTAGAATGGCATTTGAACATCGATTATATACTATTGCTTACAACAGAATGGAATGCATTTTGAACATCTGATCAAATAAAATATCCTTTTAACACAATTCATTTTATTTTATTCGACTTTATATTTTTCGTAACACCCTGTAGTGGGTGGAAAAAAAGTCTTGTACAGGTGAATACTACTGACTGAGACTGTTCATTTGAGGCATCACAAAAAAGGTAGTGCCATTTGACATTTCAAAGTTGAGGTGTGTCGCGCCGACGGGGTGACTCATCCCTTGACCGAGATATGGTGGTTCTAGTTCCCCTTAACTCTTTAGCATTTTTGCCAAACGGAGTTTTTCTAACTTTTTTCTTTCGCGAGATATTCGCATTGAAAGTTTTCAAATTTACACCCTGTATATGCAGTACACAAATATTGAATTAATTTTATTGATTATAGCTGACCCGGCAAACGTTGTTTTGCTATGCATTTACATTATTTCTAGAAACTATTTTTTCAGGTGCATATTTAACAACACACTTTTATTATTTCATTTTCTACTTCTGCCCATAATAGGATGTTTCCTTAGTTTTTCAAACTATACTATATAGGTATTCATTTTCTACTTTTTTTTTCAGTTCGGTAATCTAATCCAAACCACTATTTATTTTATTTTTTACTTTTCTTTACTTGAAAGCGTACGTGTTTTATAAGTTTTTCGAAACACTTATTCATTACAATAAGCTTGTTCGACATATTGAATCCGCCATCTTCAATTTTCTAATTCTGACGGGGAAATCATAATCTCCGACCTCGAAAACCCTCAGCGTTGATCGATATATTACGCTTATGCTAAGCGTACCTAATATATCAATCAACGCCCTCAGATTCTCAGATACCAATTTAAAGCAGTATCAGATCATAATTGATAGATTCATATGCCGTGTATTGAATTTGTCATCCTGAATTTCCAAAATTTAGCGAGAGAATCATAATCTCCTAACCCGAAAACCCCCGGATACCAATTTTGAACATAAGTACAATACTCGTTGGCCATATTGGAGCCGCCATCTTGAATTTTCCAATTTTGACAAAATAATTTTAACAGGTATCCGACCCCAAAAACTCCGAGATACCAATTTTTAATACAATATTATCGGATTATAATTACGAACTTAGTCCACCAACTTGAATTTCTCCATTTTTTCGCATAACAACCTTCTCCTGGCAATAACAAAAACAAAACAAATAATTAGTGAAAGCGGTCAAGCCGTTTTACGATTCAATGAAGAGGACATACAGACAAACATTCATTTTTATATCGGTATCGGGCCACCCCTGTATAACTTAAGTAATCGTGAACGGATTTTTCTGAAATTTGGTACAGTTATATTTACGAATGCAGAAGTTATCGGGGTGGCCCGATACCCTCTGTGTCACCCGGTATATATAGACTAATACATATTCCATTTCTCATCTCATGCTTGTGCTTTTTGCTGTACTTATAATACTATGTATCAATATTAGTGGCGGTGAGTAAAATGGAGTATATTATTAGTTGTGCAATAATGACTATTATTCTCAATTGTCGATAGAGGGCGCCATTTAGAAAATTATTATCTATTCATTATGCTGATTACATATTCATATATTTCTATTACTAATAAATTAATAACTAACAAGTGTGAATATCCTTCTTTATTTATATGAAGAAATATATGTAGAAAACGAAAAATCAATCAAATGTACAGTAATTTATATAAACACAACAGTAAGTATACAAACATTTCTGAACAATATATCAGAATATCACAATAAAAACTCCAGATTCATTATATTATTCGATTCATATTTTGGTTTTTTTCTGTCTAGGTTGGTCTGTTTCCATGTCTTCTCCCTCACTTTCTTGTAGCATAATCACATCCTCTTTTTCTGACTCTATATTCTCCACGAACATTACTGCTTTACCATGTCTTCTGCCAACTGACAAAAACAAGCAACAGAATGAAAAAAATATCACAAAAACAACAACTCCTGTAATCCTTTGAAGAATTTATTCTGTTTCAGTGGGAACATTTTCAAGAATCTTGTGGAAACTATTTGTAAAATATTCTTCAATTACTATGGATTTCTATCAAAAGTAAAGGCGAGCATCAGTATTCAATTTGATACACAAACCAAATGACACTCAAGGACTATCAAAATATTCTCATAAATAATACACATCCTTTCGTTGTCAACCTCGAAAGATGCCGAACAGCACTTTATCAAAACTCCTCTTCTTCCATAGAACGGCTAGACTCTGGAATTCATTGCCTGAGGAAGTATTCCCACCAACATATAATCTCCAGAAGTTCAAAAAAAAATTCCAATACCTACCTCCTGTCCCTATCCCTCCTAGGAACGCACGATGTTCTTTGAACATTATAGGGATTTCCTTTCGTGCGCTCCAAGCGATAAAAAAAACAAAAACAAACAAAAAAAACAACATGATGTTCTGAATATTCAAGATAATTCTGTCAGGACGAGTGGTATTGCTGTAGGGCAACATAATCGAAGTGACAATGAAAGACTGATAGATGCCGTAATAATAATATGAAAATCATATGAAAAACAAACACATACTTGTTGAAAAAATAAGAAGTGAGAAATACACTATTACTGCCTATATGGGTACAAGCAGATGAATTATACAGGGTGTTTCAGATTTAAATGTACAAACGATACCTGTAGATAGAGGACACTTCGGTGGTTCCAATTCACCACTCATCGATATGTCTACCGTCTTTTATAACTGAGATACAGGACGTTATCTTGATTCTGGCGAAATCTTCATCTGGTTATAACTTTTGAACCACTTTGTATAATTTATCCATACTTGGTAGAAATATTCCACTTATATTACCCATCAAAACTAAATGAAAATCTGGATCAGAATCCAGGTCCGTCTTGGGGAAAACCAGAAAATTTCTTTTATCTCAAAAACAACGCCCTGTATGGCAAAATTTTGTAGGTCTGTTTCGATATTTGGAAAGAGCGGAAAAAAATGAAATAAGTGACCTACTTCTTACGAGTGCGCATCTAATTTGACAGATGGTTTATTATCATGTTTTGAAATATTCAGCTCCATTTCGAGGCATTTTTATTGAACTTATAATTCAAAATTCAATTTAAATACAAAAAAATAATAGTCTTCAAAGTTCAACATCACTATAGTCAAATTAGGTGAACTATCGATAGACAGACAGAATCACTTGTCTATGGTATCATACATTTTTGAGGGCTCATTTTATTTTCCACCATTAATTCACGAGCTGCGGTTGAGGTTGTGCAAAAAAAATCTGATATTCTGACAGGTCATAATAACTAGTGTGATATTACTGGTAATGTTAAGATACTTATTTCTGGTGCTTGTATTGGGTTGTGACATTTCAAAGTGTTCATAATTATTGTGCCTACAATAACTTTACCAATAATATCGCAACTATAGTGAATATGAACTGTCAAAATTTTCATTTTTCCTTCACAGCCTGCTTTACCGCAGCTTGTGAATGAATAGTAAAGTATAAAATGAGCCCTCGAAAATTTTCAAAATCATCGACAAATTATTCTGTCAAACAAACAAATTTATCGATAGTTCACCTAATTCGACTCTAATGATGTTGAACTTTGGAGACTGTTATTTTTCTGTATAAAAATTGGGTTTTCAGTTATGAGTTCAATAAAAATACCTCGAAATGGAACTAAAAATTTCAAAACATGATAATAAACCATCTTTCAAATTGGATGCGCACTCGTAAAAAGTAGGTCACTTCATTCATTTTTTTCCACTCATTCCAAATATCAGAACCGATCAATCAAATTTTGCCATACAGAGTGTTGTTTTTGAGATAAAAGAAGATTTCTGTTTTTCCTCAAGACGGACCTGGATTCTGATCCGGATTTTCATTTGGTTTTGATGGGTAATATAAGTGAAATATTTCTACCAAGTGTGGATAGATTATACAAAGTGGTTCAGAAGTTATAACCAGATGAAGATTTTGCCAATATCAAGAAAACGTCCTGTATCTCAGTTATCAAAGACGGTAGACATATCGATAGGGGGTGATTTGGAACCACCGAAGTGTCCTCTATCTACAGGTATCGTATGTACATTCAAGTCTGAAACACCCTGTATTATCAAAACTAAAATGTGTTTCCTTGAATTTCTCCATAGCAGCTAGAAATAGTTATTTATCATACAATGGAAAATCTAATATTCTTCCCGTGTATAATGCACTATTTTTTTCTGTGACAGGAAAAGGACGAATCAATATTGAAATCACAAAATCATTGACCTGAAAATTGAAGATTTTCACAGGAATGACACACGCGTTGCAGTCATCTTTGTCATTCTTTTGAGGTAATCGAATATCTGTCAGTCTGATTCTGTGGTTTGATTTTAAGAAATTGCGAATCTAGTGGTTTAGTACAGGGTGATTCACCATAAATGTCCCCCCCTCTAGCTCACTTATTTTTGAACCGTTTTAAAAATTTGAAAGAAAATCTAAAATGATTTTTCTGAAATTTTTTCCCGCTGCATCAGAAAATACAGGGTGCTCGGAACAAACGATCTATAGAGTACTAATTGATTTTTTTAAATGGAACACCCTGTATTTTATTGTATTTTAAGATTCTTCCTGAAGAGCTGATTTCATCAATGCATCACACTTGGGGTTTAGCGGGAATGATTACAGAGATATAGGGTGTTCAAAATCGAGATTTTTCAACTTTAGGATTTTTTTGTGCCGAAACTATTCATTATTGGTCAAAACGGCTTCTATATGTTCCCATCCCAACTTTCGATTTACTATCTAGTGAAATTTAATTGGAACATTTACAGGGTGGTTCAAGATTCAGAATTCTGGTCACCCGCTGTATCTGTTCCAATTATTAAATGTCAGTAGATAGTAAATAAAAAGTTGAGATACGGACATGAAAACCGCGTCACCGATAATGAATAGTTTCGTCACAAAAAAAATCCTTAAGTTAAAAATCTCGATTTTGAACACCCTATATCTCTGTAATCAGTCCTGCTAGACCCCAAGTGTGATACATTGATCAAATCAGCTCTTCAGGGAGAATCTAAAAATACAATGAAAAATAGGGTGTTCCATTTAAAAGAATCAAATAGTACCCTGTAGATCGTTTGTTCCGAGCACCCTGTATTTTCTGATCTAGCGGAAAAAAACTTTATCGAAAATCATTCAAGATGATATATCAAATTTTAAAATCGGATCAAAAATAACTGAGCTAGAGGGGGGGACATTTATGGTGAATCACCCTGTACCTAATTTACGTAACCGCGAAGTTGAATGGAAGATAAAAAGACTTGCAGTTCTTTCTTGGAGACGGTTTTATTGGCTTATTTTTTGGAAATATAGCACAACAAAAGCCATGAACAGTTTTATACAAGGTGTTTTTGAAATAAGTGACATATTCAGCACATTAATATGATAAGAGTCTAAGGAATATTCCCATGATATCAGATTTTTTCTAATTCTTCTAATTAACGAAAAACTTCATCCCAAATGATTGAAATCCGCGTGATTCTGCCTACCGCATGGAAATTTGAACAGAGGTGACGTCAGATTTGCTACAGTGTAAAACTTTGGGTGGAAAAAGGGGTCTAACCTCAAATTTTATTTTGATCCCTAATTTCATTCGATAGTACACATCGAGCTCTCTCAGTGTTTGAAATATTTGCACTTATTTCAATGCCACCCTTTATATATGGGAAAAAGGTACTCACTTTTTTCCCGTATGAAAAGTGACATTTTATAACCTGTCAACAGAAATATTTCAAACTTTTTTCCGTCACAGAAAAAAATAGGTTCTAATCTCAATTGAATAAACTTTTTAATACTAAATAGCTGACAGCTTTCTTTATTCACTATTGATATGATTGAAGTAGATACCATAAACCATGTTCTTGGATTCCGACAATTTCAACAATGTACCATTTCTCAATAAGAAAAATATCTGTCTCAATCTCAAAAGATTTTGAGACTACCTGAAATTGGGAAAGAAATGTATGAACTTTTATTTACTTCAGGTTAAAGGTACAATAACATATATTTTTCCTTTTTATTTTCATTGCATTTCCTAACCCTTTCATTGCGGGAACTGGAAAAACCCGCAAAACGTTTGTACACCAACTACGCAGGAGACGGCTTTTCACGCACGTGTTTTTAACGCATTCATTGCGGGAACCCGGCGTTTCCGTCTACGTATATTGATATGTCAAGATTCAACTAAACATGTCTCAACAGGATTTAACGATTGTGGGTGCGGTTTTCATTTTATTCATTATTTCAGTATCGAAGTAGTAGCTGCATCAGTTGGTTGGTTTTTATTTGTTTCAAGTGAATTTAAACCACGATGGCTCGAAAATATCTCAATGACGATCAAATTGAAGAGTTGTTGTATGCTAAAATAAACTGAATTCTGCTTTGCGCCTCGTGATGTTCCACTGTGTATTATAAAATGTTTTGAAAGGTATCACACTGTCAAAAATTATTAAATTCCATTTCATATATGGGAATATTTTCAATTCATTATAGATATTAGGAATCGCATTATAACATTTCATTTCAAACAAAGACTATTGAAATTGAACTTATTTTGGGTTGAAATATGTAAAAAAATCGCATTATCCTGTGGTTGCGGGAGACCAGACTTAGGTATACCGGGAGGCAATTTTACTAAATATACTGCACGCTAGCACAAACCACGCCCACCATAATACGTCATATCTCCAAACATTACCGATATACTCGGAGTCAGCACATTGCACTAAATATACTGTGCTCCAACGCAAGAATACACTTTTTATGATTTTGACACGAATTCGACTGAAGCTCTCTCGTTGTCAATCTCTTGTACGCAGTAATTTCATACACCCAAATGGTCTACTGGTTAGCGCTGTCGACTCTCAGTCTGAAGGTCCGCGGTTCGAATCGCTATGAACTTGAATTTTTTTTGCAACTTTTTTTCTCACCAATGTTTTTTTACTTCATTCTGGTTTTCCTTTTTCATAAAATATTTGAAGTCAAATAGGATAGTGCGTTTAGGATAAACAGTCTCATTTTATTCAATTTTGTTGAAGAACTCAACTTTTGAAATATATTATTAATCAATGTGTTTCTACACTCCATTCGGTTTTCCTTCCTCAAAAATATTGCAATCAGGGATAGGTTAGTTCATTAAGGATAAATAGTCTCTGAGTTTTGCCTAAGTACTTCGAAGATGAGATATTACGGTGGGCGTGGTTTGTGCTAGCGTACAGTATATTTAGTAAAATCGCAACCCGGCGTTTCCGTCTACGTATATTGATATGTCAAGATTCAACTAAACATGTCTCAACAGGATTTAACGATTGTGGATGCGGTTTTCATTTTATTCATTATTTCAGTATCGAAGTAGTAGCTGCATCAGTTGGTTGGTCGTTATTTGTTTCAAATGAATTTAAACCACAATGGCTCGAAAATATCTCAATGACGATCAAATTGAAGAGTTGTTGTATGCTAAAATAAACTGAATTCTGCTTTGCGCCTCGTGATGTTCCACTGTGTATTATAAAATGTTTTGAAAGGTATCACACTGTCAAAAATTATTAAATTCCATTTCATATATGGGAATATTTTCAATTCATTATAGACATTAGGAATCGCATTATAACATTTCATTTCAAACAGAGACTATTGAAATTGAACTTATTTTGGGTTGAAATATATAAAAAAATCGCATTATCCTGTGGTTGCGGGAGACGGGTGTACAGGTCCGTACCTGACTTGGGTATACCGGGAGGCGATTTTACTAAATATACTGCACGCTAGAACAAACCACGCCCACCGTAATATCTCTTAGGCAAAACTCAGAGACTATGTATAACGAACTAACCTATCCCTGATTGCAATATTTTTGAGAAAGGAAAACCGAATGGGGTGTAGAAACACATTGATTAATAATATATTTCAAAAGTTGAGTTCTTCAACAAAATTGAATAAAATGAGACTGTTTATCCTAAACGCACTAACCTATTTGACTTCAATTATTTTATGAAAAAGGAAAACCAGAATGAAGTAAACAAACATTGGTGATGGACCATCAGACTGAAAGTCGACAGCGCTAACCAGTAGACCGTTTGGGTATATAAATTTACTGCATACAAGAGATTGACAGCGAGAGAGCTTCAGTCGAATTCGTGTCAAAATCATAAAAAGTGAATTCTCGTGGTTTGTGCTAGCGTGCAGTATATTAAGTAAAATCGCGTCAGCACATCGCACTAAATATACTGTGCTCCAACGCAAGAATACACTTTTTATGATTTTGACACGAATTCGACTGAAGCTCTCTCGTTGTCAATCTCTTGTACGCAGTAAATTCATACACCCAAATGGTCTACTGGTTAGCGCTGTAGACTTTCAGTCTGAAGGTCCATGGTTTGAATCGCTGTGAACTTGAATTTTTTTTTGCAACTTTTTTTTTTTCACCAATGTTTTTTTACTTCATTCTGGTTTTCCTTTTTCATAAAATATTTGAAGTCAAATAGGTTAGTGCGTTTCGAATAAACAGTCTCATTTTATTCAATTTTGTTGAAGAACTCAACTTTTGAAATATATTATTAATCAATGTGTTTCTACACTCCATTCGGTTTTCCTTCCTCAAAAATATTGCAATCAGGGATAGGTTAGTTCGTTGAGGATAAATAGTCTCTGAGTTTTGCCTAAGTAAAGTACTTTGAAGATGAGATATAACGGTGGGCGTGGTTTGTGCTAGCGTACAGTATATTTAGTAAAATCGCTACCGGGAGACGGGCGTCCCCGCAACGCTAAATTTTTCCCGTTTTGAGAGCACGACTATCAAAATTTTACCCGCAATGAAAGGGCTAAACAACTTCCTATAAGTTGAAACTTCATTTTTGTGAATCTTGGGGGGTTAGGAAAGCATACAAACACAAACATCCATGGCCTAACTGGGGCTTGAACCCATGCCTTGGTGGAAGTCCCCTTAGGAATAATGAGGTAAAAAAGGTTGATGTCATACTTTGATACAGTAGGTATGTATGTACTTAAGCAAGATATAGGTGCTTACCTGAATTCAGAACCACTTTGCTTGGACAATGAAAAACTGCACTCTTGCATTGTAATTCACTCAAACCAAATATAAAACCTCTAAGAAGAAATTAAGGTAAAATATCAGAAATGAAAATGTCTCAAAATATTGCTGTTTGTGTTGTGCCAAAGACAAAACAGATTACACAGAATATCAACAGTGTGGAGGATGACATTTTAGCCATTCATAATATGATTAATTAAAAGGATACAAATTTATTATGTCATATGGGCTTCTAATGTACATGAAATTTTCAGCACCACTAGAAAATATTATGTTCTTGGATTTGCCAAATGCATGGAACAAATGTGAAGCATGAATTAAATTTTTTCTTTTTGTAGAATCTTGTATAGCAGCACTGTATAAGAGCTCAAAGTGGAAGCCCCTGTCAATTAGTAGGTTATAGTGTTTTCTATTCAGTCTCATATTGAATTTATTTTCTGGGTTGAAACTAAAAATATCTGCTTCAAGGGAAGTGCATGTGAACTAGAAATAAATTAAAATTAATGGACAGATATGACAAATCACTGATAAAAAAGATAGGACAGGTATATACAGGGAAAAACACAAAGAAACAGCCAGTACTGTAACTTCTGAATCATAAGAGATTGGAGTTTGTAATTTGGTGGGTAGCAAGTATACCAAATTACTAATTTATAAACAAAAAAATATTTGAATCATGAAAATCATCCATTTCTCAAATCCCAAGCATAATGGATTGATAGTTTCAAGGATAATCACTGGCAACCTCTCTGGCAACAACATGATTGTGATCAATTTTACAAGAATTTCTTGATAATATATTATAGGTAGATTTTAATTTGTCTCCTCTCAGGTTGTATTATCAATTTTCTACTCTTTTGTAAATACTAACTGGAACTGGTTACATTTGTTTGAATACTGGTGTTTTGATGTTTTTTCCATATGAAGAAAATATTTAATTAATCACTTCTGTATATATTTTTATTTTTAGATGTGGATCATTTTACATTTTGAGATTCTGATCAAAATATTCAAATAAACAGGTTGTTCTTTTCAAAAAATCAAAAGTGGGGATGGCTTTTGGTTGAAGAAGAAGGAATAAAATAAATATTGTTTGTCAATAAAAGGCAATTATTTGGTATACATTCTATCCTCCTAATTTCAAAATTCAACCTCTCTGTATCAGTAACTGCATGAAAAATGGTCAGTGCTGAATAATGTGAGGTCAGATTTTGAAATTGAAAGGAATAGAATAAGTATTTTATGTCAATAAAAGGCAATTATTTGGTATACTTTCTATCCTCCTAATTTCAAAATTCAACTTCTCTGTATCAGAAACTGCATGAAAAATGGTCAGTGCTGAATAATGTGAGGTCAGATTTTGAAATTGAAAGGAATAGAATAAGTATTTTATGTCAATAAAAGGCAATTATTTGGTATACTTTCTATCCTCCTAATTTCAAAATTCAACTTCTCTGTATCAGTAACTGCATGAAAAATGGTCAGTGCTGAATAATGTGAGGTCAGATTTTGAAATTGAAAGGAATAGAATAAGTATTTTATGTCAATAAAAGGCAATTATTTGGTATACTTTCTATCCTCCTAATTTCAAAATTCAACCTCTCTGTATCAGTAACTGCATGAAAAATGGTCAGTGCTGAATAATGTGAGGTCAGATTTTGAAATTGAAAGGAATAGAATAAGTATTTTATGTCAATAAAAGGCAATTATTTGGTATACTTTCTATCCTCCTAATTTCAAAATTCAACTTCTCTGTATCAGAAACTGCATGAAAAATGGTCAGTGCTGAATAATGTGAGGTCAGATTTTGAAATTGAAAGGAATAGAATAAGTATTTTATGTCAATAAAAGGCAATTATTTGGTATACTTTCTATCCTCCTAATTTCAAAATTCAACTTCTCTGTATCAGTAACTGCATGAAAAATGGTCAGTGCTGAATAATGTGAGGTCAGATTTTGAAATTGAAAGGAATAGAATAAGTATTTTATGTCAATAAAAGGCAATTATTTGGTATACTTTCTATCCTCCTAATTTCAAAATTCAACTTCTCTGTATCAGTAACTGCATGAAAAATGGTCAGTGCTGAATAATGTGAGGTCAGATTTTGAAATTGAAAGGAATAGAATAAGTATTTTATGTCAATAAAAGGCAATTATTTGGTATACTTTCTATCCTCCTAATTTCAAAATTCAACTTCTCTGTATCAGTAACTGCATGAAAAATGGTCAGTGCTGAATAATGTGAGGTCAGATTTTGAAATTGAAAGGAATAGAATGAGTATTTTATGTCAATAAAAGGCAATTAGTTGGTATACTTTCTATCCTCCTAATTTCAAAATTTAACCTCTCTGTATCAGTAACTGCATGAAAAATGGTCAGTGCTGAATAATGTGAGGTCAGATTTTGAAATTGAAAGGAATATAATAAGTATTTTATGTCAATAAAAGGCAATTATTTGGTATACTTTCTATCCTCCTAATTTCAAAATTCAACTTCTCTGTATCAGAAACTGCATGAAAAATGGTCAGTGCTGAATAATGTGAGGTCAGATTTTGAAATTGAAAGGAATAGAATAAGTATTTTATGTCAATAAAAGGCAATTATTTGGTATACTTTCTATCCTCCTAATTTCAAAATTCAACTTCTCTGTATCAGTAACTGCATGAAAAATGGTCAGTGCTGAATAATGTGAGGTCAGATTTTGAAATTGAAAGGAATAGAATAAGTATTTTATGTCAATAAAAGGCAATTATTTGGTATACTTTCTATCCTCCTAATTTCAAAATTCAACTTCTCTGTATCAGTAACTGCATGAAAAATGGTCAGTGCTGAATAATGTGAGGTCAGATTTTGAAATTGAAAGGAATAGAATAAGTATTTTATGTCAATAAAAGGCAATTATTTGGTATACTTTCTATCCTCCTAATTTCAAAATTCAACTTCTCTGTATCAGTAACTGCATGAAAAATGGTCAGTGCTGAATAATGTGAGGTCAGATTTTGAAATTGAAAGGAATAGAATGAGTATTTTATGTCAATAAAAGGCAATTAGTTGGTATACTTTCTATCCTCCTAATTTCAAAATTTAACCTCTCTGTATCAGTAACTGCATGAAAAATGGTCAGTGCTGAATAATGTGAGGTCAGATTTTGAAATTGAAAGGAATATAATAAGTATTTTATGTCAATAAAAGGCAATTATTTGGTATACTTTCTATCCTCCTAATTTCAAAATTCAACCTCTCTGTATCAGTAACTACATGAAAAATGGTCAGTGCTGAATAATGTGAGGTCAGATTTTGAAATTGAAAGGAATAGAATAAGTAGTTTATGTCAATAAAAGGCAATTATTTGGTATAATTTCTATCCTCCTAATTTCAAAATTCAACCTCTCTGCATCAGTAACGGCACAAAAAATGGTCAGTGCTGAATCATTCATGTTCAGATTTTCAAATTTGATGAATAGAAAGTATACCAAATTGGCTTTTATGGATAAAAAATATTGATTATTGCAGATTTTTTGGGATTTTAGCCCCTAGGTTCTATAAAATATACCTGTAGTGAGGAAAAACCAGATGGGTTGCCCCAAAATGTTACTGCCTTCAAAAATGTTCCTATCAGAAAACCTGAAAGAAAAACTCATTTGCTTGACTGTGACAGTTTGTTTTGAAAAAAGGTTTGGAGAAGAGAAATATAGGTATAGGTTTATAGAAAAAATATCGAATTTTCAATTAGTTCAAAACTAATCATTTCTTCACTTCTGCCTCAACCAGAATAAGCAACCCAAACTTTTGATTTTTAGATAGGGTAACCTGTATATTTTGAAATTTCAATCAAAATAAGTTCCTATCCTCAATAAAACAAGACCATGAATCCAAAAATGAAAAATTATACAGGGTGTCCTATTTGGAAATCAAAATTTGTTTCAACCAGAAGTGAAAACAAATATCTTCTTGTTAATAAATGAGCAATTTGGTATACATACTACCAACCAAATTTCAAAATTCGATCTCTAATGATTTTGAAGTTACAGCACTGGTCTTTTTTTGTGCACTTCTCTGTATATTTGAAGATTTTGTACCCCTTCATCAGATTTGAACTACCTATATGTATTCCAATTTATAATCTTCAGTTGAAGTTTGAAAGTAGATGAAAAATCATAGTAACAGAGATGTGTACCTATATAAGTATGACTTCATAGAAATAACACTTACTGTGAATGCAGGCATGGTTGTTGGAGCAGCTGCTATGATATGGAATTTTTTGTAGTTTGTTGATTTAGTCTGAAAAATATCAGATTGGTATTGATGGATTCTGATGAGGGTATTTGTTAATTCCTAGCTAGTTATTTATATAAAGTAATATCCTCAAATACTCTCTCAAATATCAGTAAAATATTGAATATTTTATAAGCAGCAGATATAAAAATTGAGAAATTAAGACACATGTTGACAATTTTAATAAAAAAAAAATCCAACTTTTTCAGTGAATACCTTGAAATATCTTTAAAATTTGCTTTCAAAATTTCTATTTCTGAAGAAAATTCACAAGTTCATCATCAGGTAGGCACTTACTAGTTATAGTCTATATAGTAGTCTATGCAGTCAGTTGAAACAGATCATCAAAGGAATATTAGGCTGTGCAGCCATATATTTTTGAACAACCAAAGGGACTGACAACCCACAGCTGTTGTGTTGTTCCAACTGACTTTGCATGGGCTTTACTACCATGCAGTATTTCTTACATCCTTAAGACCAAATTCATGTATTGAGAACTTGATTGAGAAGATTTATGAGGCACTTTCAAAAATATACAGTACCTCTCATTATTTTGAAGAACTCCAGATGAACTGCAAGAGTGTGAGAGAGTGTGAGAGAATGTGAGGATATTGATAATTTACTGAATACAGACTTACAATTTTATGAAGTGCTTCTTGATGGGAGAAGAATACTGTTAATCTATTGAGCACCACGAAATTTTCTAGTTGTAATTGAGCAACAACATCTTGGATTCTCTTCAGGTTGAATGGCACTGGCACAATGTCCTGTGTTTCACGAGGTTCTCGTTTCTTCTTTTTTTTGCCTACTTCAATATTTCCATCATCTATTGATTGGTTTACTGCGATAGTTCTATATCCAACTTTCTCAGAAACAATTAAATTAATAATACAATACCTAGATTTAAAAATTCTACTTACAATTGTGTAGTGATTTTAGAGACTCAATGAGATCGTTGTTAGTTAACAACGAGGTGAACAAAGATTCCTGAATGCACAAGTCATAAAACCCTGTTGTTTTAATCATCGTTCTCCAATATTTAATTATTTTTTTCCTTTTCGAAAATTTCAAATGATCAGATAACCTCTAAAATTACCACAGGCACAGGGCACAGAACTAATTTGACGGAAGTCACAAAACCATAGGAAATATAGATTAACAAATGTGACCTTAGATCATTCCTCTACGATGTCACATCACAAAACAAAAATTCACATCATCGGTCCACCTAGAGCGCAACAAATCATTCGTGATTACCGCTTTCAGCTTGAATTCTTGGGGCTTAGTAGAGTCCCTGTATATACCTGGAATTCATTGCCCGAGGAAGTATTCCCAACATTATTATTATTATTATTATATAATCTCCAGAAGTTCAAAAAAAATTCCAATACCTACCTCCTATCCCTATCCTCCCTAGGAACGCACGATGTTCTTCGAACATTATAGGGATTCCCTCTCGTGCGCTCCAAGCGATACAAAAAAAAAAAAAAAAAAAAAAAAAAAAAAAAAAAAAAGACAAGAGCCCGGACACAGCTATACTTCTGTCCTTTTCTGTTTTCAAAAAATGCATTGATGATTGAATAAAGGAATAAGACATATATATCGAGCTCTGTCTTTTCAATTCCCCTAGGATCAATGATTGCCCGAAACAATTTTGAGGGTTAGATTATTTGTCAAACCGTTCATAGCCGTAGGTAGAAGTGAGAAAAAGGGCTAATTTGACTAGAAAAACTATTAGATTTTCAAATAATGAACAACAGGATGTTCAAATTTCGAATCGATAATTTTCATGATCAATTATTCCTGAGATACCATTAGATATAAGAAAGATAATTCAAGTGTTCTACGTGGTATCACATATAGTCAAGAAAATATATTTACTTGTTTTCTGTTGGGATATAAAAAAATAGAAGATATTCGTGATAGAGTCTCGATTCAGAATTTCTTTCCACGCCCTGTATGATGAATGTCAATTTATCATACACCCAAAAGATATATAATTGTTTCAATATAATTTTAATTGTGTCGGTTTCCCACCTCTTCCTGCAGAAGCAGAGGCTACATTCAGCTGTAAATTTTGAATTCCATCTGAATTAAAAACACCGTGGACTGATGACATAGCACATTGCAATTTCTCTAAATCTTCAAGTTTTGATTTCAAACTTTCAATTTCTTTCCGCATCATCTCATTCTCGTTTTCTTTGTCTGCGATCGTATCATTCAGTAATTCCCAATACGATGACGACGGAACTTTTTTTTTAACGTCTTTATATTTTATAAATTGACGGCACAGCAGACTCTTTCAATTTGAAAGAATCTCTATCAAAATGGGCCTGAAATTAATCTTTTTTGTACTGTTTTTTCAAGTGAATTTGAATATTTACCTCACATATTTCGGATTTCTTGAAATTAATTTTCCATTCTGGACGTTTCATTGCATTCTTCCATGACATTATCTCTAAATGATCATTCGGAAAATTGAATAACTTGAATCCCTTTTCTAATGAATTATCAAAATAATGTACGCAGCAGGAAATTGAAATAGTTTAAAATGCAAAATTTTGGCGGTCATAAAATTTCAATGACATTGACAGAAATTCGAAATAATTAAAAAAAGCGGGCGGGACGACTATGGTGTTTCGTCACATTGTCAGGTGGGCAAACCAAATGAAACAAAATATTAAAAACCCCAACGGCTGTCAGTTTTGTGTCCGGACTCTTGTCTAAGGTATATATTCCTGTATGATCTAAGGGTATATACAGGGACTCTAGGGCTTAGGATTAGATCTAAGGGCTTAGGACATTCAAGAAGAGCAATCGCTCTGCACGAATTCAATCTGACCTGAAATGAAGCATCAAATGATCCTTGTAGTGGGGATTGACGGAATGCTTCCTTTTTTTTTTCGAAGAATACTGTAATAGTTATTTATGTACCAAGGACGAAATACTGTCTATTATAGTCGAGTCTGAAAATTGACAGCTGTGGCCACTGGCCTAGCTTACCCGCTAGCAGGCGAGAAAATAGACAGTTTTCCGCCTAGGTGCAAATTACAGTTATATCGTCGACCTCAAACACTTATATATCCACATCACGGTCCTATTCACACGTGAAATCTATCGGATTTGATGAATAATTATTTTGACAGTTGTTAAATACCTTGTCAAAAATTTAGATCTACAGCATAATAATCAATACGGATAATCTCTATCTGTTTCCATAGCGAAACATGAAGCCGATTTTTGAAGACAAATGACTCTCCATAAGGAAAAGTGAGATACGATCAGACACATACTGCTTTGATTGAAAGGCTAGTAAACGTCATTGTCCACCGAAACGCATGTCTTTGATGACTACTATAATAGCGCATGGCGCATGCGTATCATGCCACCAAATCCTTATGGATATTCATTTGTTTCATATTTTTGGCTTCATCCTGGCACCCGTTATGATCCGTATTGTTTATTCTTGTTTTGAAACAGCGCCCCCAACGGTCGATCACCTTGCCAATAGGAATGAAAAGAAAAAATAATGAAATAAACCTATGACGTCAAAACAAGTACTTTCAGTAAACAGAAAAGTAATTACCTAGTTCTGAACACTTTCAAGTTCAGTGGTTCTGAAATGGATACAATCAAATCCATATATCTACTACTCATATATGAAGTATACCTTTTCTCAAAGCGGGACCAACTTCTGTTTATTGGTAACGAATTAACGAAATCGACCGATAGACGTTGATGCCGACGTAGGGAAAAAATAATACGACAATATGGCTACTTATTTCGCTTATTTCAAATTCCCATCCTTCACTTTCCGTCCACCTCTCATTTTGGTCCAATTTTGTTTGAGATATCGTATAGGCCATGAGCCATTTATAGAAATAGTAGATATATACAGGGTGGACCACGGTCGATGGTACCTTAGACGTATACGGAAAACGGTACATTGCATTATCCTGAAAATATTTTCAGCGAAGCAGCGTTGCCACTTTTACCAAAAAGTAGCATCATCTTTGTTATTTCAAATGGAACACCCTGTATTTTATTGCGTTTTTAGATTCTTCTCGAAGAGCTGATTTCATCAATGTATCACACTTGGGGACTAGCAGGAATTATTACAGAGATATAGGGTGTTCAAAATCGAGATTTTTCAACTTTAGGATTTTTTTGTGTCGAAACTATTCATCATTGGTCAAAACGGCTTACATGTCCCTATATTAACTTTTGATTAACTATCTACCGACATTTAATTGGAAAAAATACAGGATGGTCCAAGATTCAGAATTTTGATCACCCTGTATCTGTTCCAATTAAATGTCAGTAGATAGTGAATCAAGAGTTAAGATAGGGACATGTAAGCCGTTTTGATCGATAATGAATAGTTTCGACACAAAAAATTCCTGAAATTGAAAAATCTCGATTTTGAACACCCTCTATATCTCTGTAATAATTCCTGCTAGACCCCAAGTATGATACATTGATGGAATCAGCTCTTTGAGAAGAATCTAAAAACGCAACAACCCTGCAGTGGACGAAAAGTTGGTGTCTGCGGACAAAAAGTACTTGTCTTCTAAAATAGTCGGTTTCTCGCGAGGGGGAAACAACTCTTAAAATAGGTGTACACCATGGAATTTTGAGTACTCTAACACGTTGACTGCCATCTCGGTCGATGTGACCTAGAAAATAGCTGTCCCTCAAGCCGACGCGGTTCATATGACCGGAAAGATTTTTTGTCTTCCACGCCGGCTCGGTCAATATGACCGAGTCAGTTTTTTGTGTTTCACATGCCAGACTCTCGGTATCGAATGGTTTCAGCAGTAGAAAGTGATCGAGGCGGCCTGTAACAAACGCTGCACAGTTCCAGTTTCTGGTGTACAATTTCACAGTATGAAAAATATAGCAAACAACATAATTTCCGGTTGGTACGTCGCCAGCTCGGTCAATATGACCGAGATACATTTTCAAGATTTTCTTCACATAGGTGACGAATATTTCAGAATTTCTTTCATAGAACTTCATGATTTGTTGATATCTTATTCCTTTGCGCAACTTCTGCCCCATATGAAATTACCGCCTGGCCCGAACGTAAAATACCATGGAGAACAGAACGGCAGTCAACGTGTTAAGTATCATTTTTAATACATTAAGTACATATTTAATAAACTTTTCAGTCTCGTTTCAAGTACTTTTCAATTGCCAGATATTTAAACATGGGGTACACATTTTGGGTAGTTGTTTCCCCCTCGATTTTTTGTTCGGAAACTAGAACGTTAAACGTGATATTTGTTGCGCCCTGTCTCTAGATGTTTCATGGCGGGTCAGATTGAATTCTCAACTTTCCCGACCTGACAAATCATCAGTTTTTTAATAAAAAAATGAGCTTACTTATTGCGTGGCCGAGAATGGATGGAAATTGGTGAAATAATATTCAGAATGCTTTAAATGTTTTATTCTATATAAATTTACAACTGAAAATAGTCTCCTAATTAGTAAAACATGAAGATTAAGAAAAATCTAAAATGATTTTACTTATAATTTAAATAGATATTTCATTAAAAGTGACCTTTTGAACTTTTTTTTAATAAAATGAAAAAAACTGTTTCAACACTATACCTACCATCGGAGAGATGGCAAAAAAATTGTAAAACCAAGCAAGAATTTTGCAGTCCCTAATATACAATGCGAATGTCTAGTGGGGAACTAAAGTACTGTACATTCACACTGTACAATTCAAATAAAAACAAATATTCAACAATGTTAACTGTCGGAAGAATCATCATTTTTGCTTCATTTCTCATGTTTAATGCAAGTGTCCAACAGAAACGAATAGGGAATAATATCATAAATACAAGGTAAAATCTAACAAAATCTGCGCATGATGTATTATTGCATCAAATCTATACATTAAATATTTTATTATTGAATCACATCAAGTCTTTGTAGAAATTAATAAATTATACCCTTAGGATCATGCTCAGATCTTTTCACCTATGTACGGTCATTTTAATCTATTTCATCCGAGTCTATACATCACATTTCCTCTTCATTTTTAATTTTGTAAAATAACCGAATATTTACCTAATTCAAAATCGATATTATGCGAAATTTATTTCACTTCCATAATAAAATACCACAATTGATTTTTATTCAAATTGAATAAATATTCCAAATATACAGGGTGAATCACGAATACTATGAAATACGCATTACACATGAAATTCTTGTTCATCTTTGAAACCTACAGAGAATATTTCGTTTTTCTTCCTATGTGACAATCTCAAAATCAAATTATTGATTCAATTGATCAATACCATTGATACCGACACATACCAAATATTCATGAATCACCTTGCAAGAAACCTCTACGATCACCTTATATATATATAAAAAAATATATAATATATACAAGATACCTTAAAATGAACGTACATAATGTCTGTTTGTGTGTGTGTGTGTTTACGTGTCACATAGCCATAGTTTGATATATTATAAGTAAGGAAGCAGAGCTCTTCAGTATCTCGCTAACGAACATCTGGATAATTACTTTCAGTAATTATTTGGCTAGAAGAAATTGGATCAGAATTTGAAACCTTCGTTGGGAAGGTTCGTGTTGGGATCGAATGTGAATCCGCTTTCGCCTGCTGTCGGCGCCAAATTGGGATCATCCTCAGCCTAGAAATGCAATAGAATCGTTTCACATAGATACAGTCGAATAGGCCATTTCATTCAGATCATAGTGGAAGGTGAAGATGGTGTGCTCAACAGAAAGATAAAACTCGTCTTGTTCTGCGCATGACGTCAGCTGGGATATAACTGTCATTGCTATTATTTGTCTCGAACTTCAAATATTATATAAGTACTAAAATTGTATGAAATTCCAACTAACATACAAAAGGCACAGATTTTGAATTTTTCTGCTTTTCCAAGAATGGAGACCTAATGAAACGATGGGAGCTTGCTGCCGGCAGAATATGAACTCAAATAATGGTACCTACCTTATATTCCTTATATCCTCATTCCAAAGTATTCACCTATCATATTATCATCACATTCATATTACAGCACGTATTTCTTCAAAACATTTCTATGCAAAATGTTCCCAAACAACTGCGAAAGTACGGTTCTTGACTTACACCTCCAAAAAATCACAAATATTTGAAACAAGATGCCATTCCTACAGAACATCTTCCGTCGAATATCAAGTCAGAAATAATTGAAAATGAATTCAAAACTCTTAATTTCTCACAAAATATAAATTGCAGCAAAGATTTGAATAACAAAACGGCAAAAATTGATACTTTGCGATGTCTGAGCAGAAGAAACGTCAACGTCGTTAACTGCTGAATTTTAATTTGTCAGAATCGACACAGTAGTGGATCATTCAGATGGGATTGGCAATGCATGATAATTCGTATGTATTTGCTATTTGCGATTGCGAATCACCTTAAGATCACAATTTCCAGAATCAATGAAATAGTAAAATCGAAGGAATATGTACTTGTTTATATAAATTGAATTATTTTTAAACAGATCGAGAAACTCATAGAAATTTCAATAAACATGATTGAATTCATTGCGCTCGCCCATGGCAATGGTATCTGTCTGTGACTAGCAGCTGATAGTGGTATCCCAGATGACGTCACATAATATGCGCGTAGGCACACCATCTTTTCAAAATCATAGTGCTAGTGTTGAAAATTGAGAAAATAAATCAACGCATATTTAGAGCAGTTATTCCGGTGATTGAAGAAAGTTGTCCGAGATCGAAAGAATCAATTTCATCCGTGATCGTGAATGAAGATATGGAACTTGTCCTACTGAAAGGATCAAAAACTTGGTGTCTTTCACTTTCAAAAAGTCTTGTTTTTTGTCAATCTAATCTCGTTTTTTGACAACTGTCAACAGTCATTCCAAGTTATTCCTTGTAGCGAAACGGAATGAATAGTAGCAACCGGAATCAGAATAGTTGCAAATGAATCGACACATTGAAGTGATTGCGGTGGCAGAATCGGATAAATAAAACGCAACTACAGTCGAATAGGCCTTTTCATTCAGATATATTTTTAAGACGCATGCGCTCGTTATTAATACCAACATATTATTGGGTAATGCGAAGGTGAAGGCTCATTGGCTGTAGTTCCGACAATAAATTCTGATTGGCCATTTCGAATATGGCGGTTTTTATTAACGTTCTGTCAAAAGTCAACAGTGTCAACCACCATGGGCATTTGCCATTGAGAAACAACAACAACATAGTATTTTCGTTTTAATATTCTTGGTGTGTATCAATTGTATTATACACTCACCGGCTAAAAAAACGGCCCTGAAATGTATACAAATTGTTCGCCCTGTAACTTTTTTAATTCGTGTCTGATTTTGGTGAAATTTCGATAAAATCCTTGAAAAAAAATTGACAATTCATAAAGAAGTGAAGTGAGGGTTGAAAATACAGTGATCCAATTCTGGTAATCATTGTAACATCAACTGGGATAAAAATGACAGCTAGTTGACATAGGGGTGCTTGATGGATGTAATATCATCTACCAGTCTTTCTGAAAGTTCAAAGGGGCCGTCGTGAGCCACATTGCATTTTATTTTATAGCTCCAGTGATTGGTGATATTATGTTAATGCCCTCCGCTTCACACGCGGGAGGAAATGAATACCTTTGATCCCTTGATATATAAATACCTATAAGTTACAACCATTATATTTCCATCAAAATTAATAAATCCCTGTTTCGTTCTCAACATACCTTAAATATTACATAAGTGAGGGCGGGAAGTAAAGGTGTGTAATGTGACACTTCCCAACATTCGATGACGTTAGTAATGACAACATTACATATATGGTTGTAAATAAACATATTTTTCCCTATTATGTTATCATGGGTGGACATGCCAGAATGAGGTCTAAGGTCTAACATAATCTATTTTCCACTCCAGGTCGGAGTTGGTGGAACTGATAAATATACTTTATATTTTCGTGTCATTTGGCCTTTTGCTATGATATCTTCTCCGTCAATGTGAGAATTGGTCATAAAGATCTACATTGGGAGTTAAAAAAGGTAGGACGGCTCACGTCTTTCGATAGCTTGAGGTTTTTTATTTGTTGAAATATTCTATATCACTTTCTTCATAGAACAGTCCATAGCTTTTAGGGCTATCCGGCAAAATTTTGGGATTTTTGACTTACGTAAACAGCTCGTGACGTCACCTAAGAGAGGCCAGTGTTTTACCGCTTGTCGACTAACGCGTCAGTTCGTGTTAATTCATCGGTGATTCACGTATGTTCTTGAAGCGGTCCCGAATTCTTTTGTTGTTTATTCATCAGAATAGTTGGCGGAAAAATTACTTTTTTGTGAAATATTTTGTGTTGTGATAGGCGAAATAACAATGCCTCTCAAGTGTTGCGTTCCCTTTTATCGGGAGAATTATGTGGGTGTTCCAGAAGTTCATGCTTTTAGTTTCCCGTTGGACGAGGATATATCGAGAAAGTGAGTATATGCAATTCACCGCGAGGATTTTACTCCATCTAAGTACAGTAGTAAACAGAGCTTAATTTATAATGATGAATTAATAATAGGAGACAATTACTCTCTCATGAAAAGTATGAGTAGAGGAAAAAAAGAGAAGCTCTGATTGTGCAGTTAGTTTTGTATTCGTATATTATATTCAACAAAATCATCTCTGAATTCGAGAAAATTTTCTTGAATGTTCATAATAAACGGGCATTTTTAACTCAATACATTCTCAAATTTCTTTCTGAAAACGGTCATTTGCCTCGTGGCAATGAATGCAGAATTCATTCCAATGATCAAATTGCAACTATCATATTAACATGTACTACAAACACTCTCCTTAAAAAGGTAAAACTGCATTTATCATGCGATGGGTTTTTTAAATTTTTTTTGGTACTTAGTACTTACGTATATTTGTCTGAAAAACACGAATTTGATAATGAAAATGTGAACAAACCATTATTTATCAAGATATTTGACTATAAAGTTACAAATTTCATCTTCTTTTTCGCCTGTCTTTTGGATGGCATTTAGAACAATTTTCCCTTCTTTTTTATGTTGTTGTAAAATTGTTCTATCCGTCATTCGGTTGGCCCCTTACGAGAAACCCTCAGAAGTCTTCGAGAGTCTTGTGCGAGCAGAAAAATTTCTACAGTCGATGGGAATCGAACCCACGACCGGCAAGCGAATGCGGATTAGAATATCGACACTCTTGTCCGCACGGCTACCTGGCCCATTATTCATCATATTGGACAATTTATATACAACAATGTATGACACATTTTTTTTTCTATTATATGATTCAACTATAAATATGATTTTCTTGAGATTTAGATATTTAGTAAAAAGAAGGAAGAATATCAGTTTTAAATAATGACGTGTGTAATGTGATTCCAAAGCAATCTATTGACATTTGACATCTCGTTAGTTGATTAAATGGCCGTCATCTGGAATGCTTGTTCACTAAATATGAAAAACTCGCCATAAAAAACATATTTCCTATTCCCATATTTTCTATATAAAAATGTGTCATCGAAGTACATCATGAGTATATGATGTGTCCATTGACAAAATAAGAAGAGCAAGTAGCTTTAAATGACCCCAACAAAAGGGGAGAGAGAATGCGAAATTTCGAACTTTTTCTTGAAATATCTCGATAAATAGTGGTTTGTTCATTATAAAATTCGTGTTTTTCAGACAAAAATACGTGAGTACCAAAAACAAATTTTCGAAAAAAAAACACCTCATGATAAATGCAATTTTAACCTTGAGAATTACTGTTCCAAGTCTAACGATCAATTGGGTAAAACATCTTACAACAGGAAATTGAAAACACTCATTGGCTAAGTTTTAGGTAATATTAATTCTCCAAGATAAATATAGGTAATTATAACAAACGGCATGTCTATCAAAATAAAATACATTTTTCACAATTTTCTTTCAATCAATCTCACGATAAGTTTATGTTCAGCGGGCCCTGTATAAGTAGGTGTGAGGTTTACCTTCACCACAATTTTTGCCAATATATTTAATTCTAATGGGTTGCTGTAGGTGGGTATTTGTATTTTATTCTGGTTTTTGCTTTGAAACTTCGTTTTTCCATAATAAAATCGAATGGGATGCGAAGAAGGGCTCAGTTGACGACTGGCATCCTTTTTTAACCGGAAGCCCTTCAAAAAAACAGCAAAATCGGCTCAATCATGGTCTAAAACTAAAATTGAAATACGCGGTCGCCTTATAGCGCCATAAGTGCTTGTCGTTTCGAGCCGCTGGTTAGGCCTCACTAAGGTGACGTCACCACGGAAGCATGCAGGCCTTATAATCTCGATGGTAACGCGCCAACTGGTGAGAGTGAAAATGTTAGTCCTTATTTATTGGTTACGAACATACCCAAATAGTTTCTGCAAAAAGAAAAACTCACCTCTCCGCTGAAGTACTGTTCGATGATCTCGTACGCCAACTTGTAAATATCGATATTGTCATGATTCTGTAGGGCCTCGATCTTATCGAGCCCGTTGCACTCCTCGATCATAGTGCACAGCTGTTCGACCTGCGGTCCGGACATCTTCAGCATGTTGTTGATTCCGTCCAACACCACCTGAAACGACAAGATCGTTGACAGTGCGACCACTGAACCACTAATCCTCAGTTTTACCCTTGATTTTTTACACTAACAATCATCATTAAGAATACTCAAGCCTTCCTCTAATCATCAAACACGGTGTGCCTCAAGGTTCTATTTTGGGCCCCCTGCTATTTCTCATATACGCAAATGATTTGATCAACTATATACATAATTTATCGAAAACTCGAGTAATATCGTACGCTGACGACACGAACATACTAGTAACGCAAAAAGATCTTGAAAGTTTTGTGGAAACAACGGAAACTGTCTATGTTTGCACTGTTATTAACTATACTACACTCAGTTCCAAAAAAAGTGACGCACTTGATATTTGACCTATTTTCTTAAAAAAATAGTAGGCCGATTTTTATTATTTTTTAGTTGGTAGGTAATGCATTTGTCTTTGAAAAAAATAAAGAGGTGAACATTTTTTCAACGCCTCCTTGATGGTGGTGGAATACTTCGAACCATGATTTATTCTTGATTTTTGACTCACCCTGTGTGTTAATTGAGTAATGGTATACAAAGTGCTTACACCCTATACGAAAGAGGATTCTTTTGCGAGCATTTTGTTTTTTTATTCATTGATTCATCTTTAAAATTTTCCGAATTACAGCTTTTTTGCTGATACCTTACGCTTATCCCACAAATTAAATTTATTGAAGGATCAGAGTACTCAAAATTGATTGGGTTGTACTCTGGTAGGATCACATTGTCTTTAAAAAAACAAATGCTGTTGCCATAGCAACTAATTTGTTGTATGCCTCCATATTTGACCATTTGTCGTTCTGTCATTAATTAAGTGTCTTGTTTTATTGACTAGAATTACATAAAATGTCTCAAATAAATCCTGAACAAGTAGCAAGATTAGTTGCGTTAGTAAACGATGGGCGTAGTAAACGTTACGCCGCTCGTGTAGTGGGAGTTCATGAAGCATCCGCGAGTACGAACAAACAGGAAGCACCGCTAGGAGGGTCGGTTCTGGTCGCCCCCGAAAAACTTCTCCAAGAGATGATCGCTTCTTGAGATTGCGGATTTAACGGAATCGATCAAATACTGCGGTAAATGTTCAGCAAGATCTTCGCCAAATTCGTGATGTTGCAGTAAGTAAGCAGACGGTATGTAGACGTCTAAAAGAAGTTAATTTAAATGCTAGGAGACCTGCAAAAGGTCCCAAATTATTGCCCGAACATCGTGCTGCTAGAAGAAATGTTGTTAAAAATTATGGACAGTGAAATATTCCTGAATGGTCGAATGTCTTGTTTACGGATGAGTCAAGGTTTTGCCTTAACATGGTGGATGGAAGGAAAAGAGTGTGGAGAAGAACTGGTGAACGGTTTAATCAAAATTTAATAACAGAATGCGAAAGTTTTAATAGTGGGTCCGTTATGATGTGGGAAGGGATTTCAATGAATGGAAAGACACCCCTTCATGTTTTTCCGGTGAGGCAGTCGATGAATGCCCAAATTTACATTGACATTTTAGAGCAGTATGTCTTACCTTATGCAGACTTAGTGGGCAATAATTTTATATCGATGCAGGATAATGCCCGACCACACACCGCAGCAATAGTGCGAAACTTCTTAGAAGCTACTGGTATTACCACATTACAATGGCCTGCGAGAAGCCCCGATATGAATCCTATAGAACATTTGTGGGATGAATTAGGGAGAATTGTACGTTCTCCCGAGAGGTCTCCGGAAAGTCTCGCAGAAATGGCAGATGCATTAGTGGAAGAATGGTATCGTATACCAATGGAAACGATAAGCAACTTAATTTCCAGTATGCCTCGTAGATTAGAAGTTCTTAGAGTTGCTAGAGGCAATACACGGTATTAAGCAAACATCCCAATTTATAATTTTGTGTTTAATAAAAATGTTTTTCAAAATTATTGGTATCAGTTTATTTCATTAGAAAATTGTTTCTCGATAAATTCAGATTTGGTAATCTGCAAGGATTCAGCAAAAAAAGCTGTAATTCGTAAAATTTTAGAGATAAATCAATGAATAAAAAAACAAAATGCTCGCATAAGAAGCCTCTTTCGTATAGAGTGTAAGCACTTTCTATGCCATTACTCAATTAACACACAGGGTGAGTCAAAAATCAAGAATAAATCATGGTTCGAGTTATTCCACCCCCATCAAGGAGGCTTTGAAAAAATTTTCACCTCTTCATTTTTTTTTCAAAGACAAATGTATTACCTACCAACAAATAAAAAAAATTAAAATCGGCCTATATCAAGTGCGTCACTTTTTTTGGAACTGAGTGTATTTGTATGCCTACTTTTTTCATTTCCATGTAAGTACTAAGTAATTCTTGCATCTATATCCTAAGTCAACACTTATTTTTCTAGAACTATGATATTTTCTATTGGCTGATGATGGGCGCATATGAGACCGAAACATGTTCCTTTAAGATTGATCTTTGATCATTCTAATAAATGTTGTGATGACTTTGGGTTTTCATCTATGTTCTCTTTTCCTCATCCCCTTTGAGCCCAACTCTACCATTAAGTAGTGTGGGGGGACAGACCGCGGCCGCTCGACAGATGAAGCATTTTGGGAGCATCTTTGATATCTCCGGGCCGCGTCTAGCCATTCCCCAGTATAACACAGAGCGAACCATCCGATATGGTGCTTTGAAGCGCACTGGATGGACTTAGTTTAGGATTAATTTCAAGTCGACAGAACAAATCCCAGTACGTTTCAGAGCACATAATACGTTCATTGTCATACCTATCAAAGCTCCACAACCTCCTTCTTGTGCATCAAAAATATATGCGTATATATATTATTTTATTTCTGACAGTGACATTATAAGCTTATATCGTCATAGTTACGATATCTATAATGAGGGTCATAACTCCCTTGGGATGTTATAGATGCTATAATTCCCTCTAGCTAAAATTAAATAAGAAATGCATAGCAACAACCATGCAATAACGTAGCAATAAAGAATCTCCTATTCGCGGTAGTCAAGATCATCATCTGACGTTCTGATGACATTGCAACTATACGGAAAAACATGTCTAACTTCCAATCGGGAAGGTATCTAATGAATGAAATCAGTCAGAAATAAAATTATCTATGTATCACGGGAATTACTGAGCCAACTGAGCCTCAATAACCTCAGGCAATTGCTGTCCCTCGGGCCAGAGGCCCTCGGGACGCAAACTTTGCCATCGGTAATTAAGGCACTTATAATTCCCTTAATACATAAATAACTATTGTACTCATGTAACAACTATGCAATTTACTGTGAGTATATGCAGTATGGACCCTGAATAATTATTTGAACACGATTTCGTAATCTGAAGTTTTGAGATAAACATTACCATACAATTATGCATGAAAAATACTTCACTAACAATATTTTAGGAACTAAACATTCGACAGCTTGAAATTTTGCTAGATAAAACGTATCATTTTCATCAACTGTGCCTAAATCAATAAGCAAGCAATTCATATTCTGAATTGATTTCTATCAATATCTGCTTTGTTTTGAACGCGCGAAAATTTGTAGTTCAACTGTTCAAGTCGTAGAAGAGGAATTTGGTTCACTAGTTAGGAATATATGTTATACACTATATTTCACACACGCGGGGGCAATGGATAACTTTGCTCCCTTGATTATTTTCACACTCCCTGAATCCTGTTTATGGAAGGGATGTTATATTTGAGAGGCACTATTCAATAGAAAACACCATCAGATTAAAAATGTTGTTTAGAAGTTCAAAACTTTTCGAAACAAAATAGCATAAAGTCAAACTCAATAATACATTATACTAGTAAGTTTGAGGTTATCGCAGTTACTGAAGTTTGTACTAGCTCGGACTCTTATTTTTGTTAGACACCAATCGCCCTTTTTCTTCTCTCAGGGTTGTTCTCGTGGATTCGTGAATGTGAGCAATAAATCAAACACGAACTTACTATATTAATATTGCCAGTAGTACATTTACCTACTGCAATAAACTTATGGAAATATATATATATATATATATAATCATATCCCTTTTTACCCATAGGGTGTAAGGGTATGGAAATACAAAATACAAAACTTCCGACAACTTAGGCCGGTAAACGTACAATCTTACGGACAGCGATGTGCCCTCTCTCGCGGATCTCAGCTAAGTCCCCGTTTATCGAGCGCTGGTCACGCTTCGAATCTCTCGCATATAAATACTCCTGATGTTTCGAGGGCGCGAACCGCACTTAAATTCCACACCTTATGGCGGGTTATTCAAACTAAACCACTAAAAGTTACCTGACATTTTTTTATAATTCTATAGTATGGAAAAGATAGCTTCTAGAGCAGTTTGAAATGATTCTGAACTTTGCTGAATCATTCCAATACAGCTGATGATCGAAATGATATTAGTTCACACTATTCCATACTCAGCAACATTCCTCCTATTAGTCCAATTCCAATGAAAACAACTATTGTGTGTCAAAAAAGATGCAATCACCTATTGACTGCTCTGAAACCACTGGAGTTTGATATGTTGTCCAGAAATTAATCATAAACAGAGTCCAGTGCGTTTCAGAGCAATGACGGCTAAATGGACTGTCTGACGAGTACTACATGACTGTCCAATCACTCAGTTCAGTGTATTCTCCACCAGAGGGGTTTACTTGCCGTCCTTTGCGGAGAAGTCATTTGTTTAGCTCTTATTCGGTTGTTTTCCAATAACATAGGTTATATTGAATTATTATTATTTTATCAAGTGTCAAAACTGTGTCACTGTCAGGTCCCTGATGTGTTCTGTTGAATATCGATAAATTCCTTTACTTTTTCGGATTTTCATTCAATCAAGCATTCTTCTTTGTGTTTAGTTCTGCTAGTGTGTGTATGTATGAATAATCGAATCAAATATGGGGTTTGCTTTTTCGAATCTCATACCCAGTGATAAACTCCACAGCAAGAATGGTCGAATTTTATTTTGGAAGGCATTGGTAAGAATATGATTTTTCATGTACACTTTTCTGATGATTTTAAATTTCAGCCTCGATTCCACCATTATAACACTGGTGTTAATTCTGGTGTTGAAGTTTGTGTCAATGATTTTGGAAGACACTATATAGAGTGATGATCAATAGCACTACATATGGCGACTTATCAGGATGGGGACATACATTCAGAAAGGATCGCTTACCATAATTTTCAAGGTATGTTTAGTCTGATGCATTGTTGTAGCTTATGTATTATGTATGCCCATCTATCAATGAGATTCTGTATAGCTTTCTTGTTTTCTTGATAGAAGTATGAGATGGTATGTGAAATAAGATAAAATGTTGTCACTGATACCTACTAGCCCACTAACTATAGCTTCCCCAAGTAGATCTAAAAAGATGAAAAGAGTACAAACTCAACTTTTGAAATGCATATAACTATTTCTGTCTCCACAAAGTTTTGAAAATGGTTGAAAAATATGTATAGAAAGCATTTATTCAAGTAATATAATAATTTTATTCCATAGACAGTCACCATAATAAACAATTTCCTTTTCCATTAAATTAGCTGATAATGAGCTTATATTTGAACTCAAAACATGCTTCTTCTCTGCTGATTTCTGAACAGATAATAGAAATTGTGGGATACACAATGATATATCATCTTCCTCTTTTATTTCCAGTGTCCAAAGGATCTCCAGGTAACCTAGCTTCATCCTCCAAAGTCAAGATCCCATATCCAAGCCGTTTTATATTCATTGTGTTGCCATCCCCAGAACCTATAAAGAAATGTTGCTATAGAACATTTAATGATTTTGAAGCTGGCATAGTTCTATCAATTTTGCAATATAATTCATCTGTATATCTGATATGAAATATATAAGTATAAAATGATAAATTGATATTTAATTTGCTATTCATGGAGATACTTGATATTGCAGTTGAAATGCCTGATTATTTTTCTGAACCCTCACCTAATTAAACAATTGTTCACAAAGCTCACCTTATATAGTAAATATTCTGGTTATGCATAGATAGCATCATCAGAATTGAATGTCTCCAGTCATCATTCAATCAAACCTCATGAACAGCTGCTTCAACATTGTGTTGAGAAAATTCAGTATCTTCCTGAAAATACAAATTGAGAAATATCACTTGAGATCACAGATTTTGTGAAACAATATGAAATGTTGCAGTACATTCCACTTTGAGAATACTGCAGTATCTGGTTATTAGGGCTACCATGGCTCTTATTAGGCAGTTAAAAATTCAATCAATGAAATACTTGAACATGTCCTTACCTATTCACGAATTGACGAAGATGATTTCCACTTGAATGGCATTATTATTTATGCATATAATACCGTTATTTGGCATGAATACTCCTAACCACTTCATTTTGTTGGCCTTTTCACAGTTTTACTTGGTATCTCCAACAAAGCTCTCCAATCTCGAGTGACAATGAGTGACAGGCTGACAGTAAGAAAATTTGTCAACAAATAATGCAGGATCATGAATGCAGGTTATGTTGAATAGCTCATTTGACACAGGAAATAGATGACGCCACTTGCCGTCCCATCAAAATTTCATTACAGGGCGATTTGGCGATTTTCGCTGAATGAACAGTCATGTATAACCCGTCAGACAGCCCATTTAGCCGTCATTGTTCAGAGCATCATATCGGACAATGCGCTCTGTGCTATACAGGGCAATGGCTATACGCCTCCGGGCCATATGGGACAATTTGTGGAAATCTGTGGCAAGGATCAGGCGATTTGTAGATATCTGTCAACCTAATCCAGGCTTTGGGAACCCGTGGCGATGGATGAATGGCACCGAGGTTTGGTGTCACTAACGGGGCTTCTGGGAAACAGGGCGACATCTCAGAGTAAACATCCTCAGCCCTGTGCAGGGGGCACCACAGGGCTGGACGAACCCCTTCCCCCGTCCCTCGTGGACGGAAAACGTTTGGCCTTCTTCGTGGACGAGAACAGGGATCGGAAGAGTTATTTTCAGGAACCTGAACGTAAAGGGCCTTTCATATCATTAATATGAGCCATGAGTCGTAAATGGTAAAATTGATAAAGGCATGTAGGTGAGATACAATGGGCCACTAGGCCGAAGTTTAGTCGTAGTCATATGTCAGACGAGCCTACAAACGGGGTCGAGTGTTTAGTGGGTATACACTGGAGTCAGGGGACTACCACACTATCAAATGGGGGATTAGACCCATATGATGTCCGTAAAGGATTTCAACCACCTTGATAAAAAACAGCTCTGATATAATTCAACCAGTATAGACAGACACATTCTACGAAGTTACCAAACAGTAATCTCCCTAAATGTCGGCACCATTGATGTTCGTTACCCTATTTTGTTTTGTGCACAACCATAATTTCATGACCAGGCACACTAGGTTGCATATTTTACACGGAATATTCAACAGTGTGTCTTTTTTCTTTTGTTGAATATAGCTGTATATTCAATATGTTCCCAGCAATGAACAAATGTTGTTTCTTGGGACTGATAAAATTGATTGATTAATTGATTTACGTTTGCCTTCTACGAGTCTGCTGTTGCCAGATTCCATACAAGATTTTACTAGAGACATAACTGGTTCTTTTGAAAGGATTTAACTATGCCAAAACAAAGATCGAGGACCTGCTGTGCTGACATTGATATAAACTGCTCAGGTGCCTCAACCAATCTTAATGCTCGCTCGTAAAAATTCTTAGTGCATCCTCATGAATTGTTCTTTTATCATTGACATTTATAGATATCGGTGGAACATGTCGAAAATCTGTGATTTCAATCAATTCCATTGCATTGAGATTCTTGTTTTCGCGAGTTTTTGCTTTGAAATTAGACTTTTTTAAAATCAAATCGAACAGAAAGCGACAAAGGGCTCAGTTGATGACTGGCATCTTATCTAATCCAGAAACCCTTCAAAAAATTCATAAAATCATCTCGATCTGCTGATATACCTACCAAACTTGACGTTAGCGAATATGTCTTGTTGCATCGGTGGTAACGGCCTTTCCCTTCAGTCAAACCACTTTAAGCTATGAGCTTCCATGTTATTCAAAACAATCTTTCACATACAAATTATGTACTTACCCTTGCCTTTACTGGTGACCACTCTTCAAATTATGTTGAGAAAACTCAACTGGTAATGTTCCCATAAAAAATTATTGAAACAAACGAAAAACATTTTCAAAAGTGATAGGAAATGATGATAAAAAAGCAATACCTGAATGACCATCGCATCTTTGCAATTCAGAAGATCACAGAATGGCGGGATGACCCCCTCGTGGATTAACCTAGCCACTTGGTGTTTGTTACCCCCTATCGTCAAATTGCTGATGGCCCAGGCGGCTTCTTTTTGGGTCTGGAAATCGCCCTTGCTGATGTTGTGGATGATGCTGGGCAGAAGACCTGCGAAAAAAGAGACTCGAAATCGCGACCTCCATGGGCGTACAGGGTGATTCATTCATAAATTCACCCCCATCTAGCTCAGTTAGTTTTGAACCGATTTTACAATTTGAAATATCATTCCAAATGATTTTCGATAAAGTTTTTTTCTGCTACATCAGAAGATACAGGGTGCTCGGAACATACGATCTACAAGGTACTATTTGATTTTTTTAAATGGAACACCCTATTTCTCTAGCGGGTATGGTTACAAAGATATAGGGTGTTCAAAATCGAGATTTTTCAACTTTATGATTTTTTTGTGACGAAACTATTCATTATCAGTCAAAACTTCTTCCATGTCCATACCTCAACTTTTGATTCACTATCTACTGACATTTGATAATTGGAACATATACAGGGTGATCAGAATTCTGAATCTTGAACCACCCTGTAAATGTTCCAATTAAATGTCAGTAGATAGTAAATCAAAAGTTGAGACAGAGACATGAAAGCCGTTTTGACCAATGATGAATAGTTACGAGACAAAAAAATCTCAAAGTTGAAAAATCTCGATTTTTGAACACCCTATATCTCTGTAATCATTCTCGCTAGAACCGAAGTGTGATATATTGATGAAATCAGCTCTTCAGGAAGAATCTAAAAAGACAATGGAATACAGGGTGTTCCATTTGAATAAATCAAGTAGTAATCTGTAGATCGTTTGTTCAGAGCATTCTGTATTTTCTGATGCAACGGGAAAAAATTTCTGAAAAATCATTTCAGATTATTTTTCAAATTTTTGAATCGGTTCAAAAATAAGTGAGCTAGAGGGGAGGGACATTTATGGTGAATCACCCTGTACATACTTGTTCTGAGCGTGAACAAATTAAAAAAATCAGAAATTCGATTGTTTTTTTCGGCAAAGACGCGAAATCGCGACTTTTATGGGCATACCAAATTTTCTGAGGTGCTGAAAAATACAGAAGAGATACTAAAATTCAAAATTTTTTTAGAAACAAACTGAAAGGAAATCAATATTGCGACTCAAGAGGGATAGATAATTTACAAAGGCCTGGAAGGGACACGTAAAATAAAAAAAATTCACTCTTCGAAATTCTGAGTTTTAACTCGGAATTTTAAAATTCCGACTCATATCTCGGAATTTTACATCCAAAATTCTGAGTTGTAACTCGGAATTTTACATGAAAGTTCCGACTTATTGCTGGGAATTTCAAAATTCCTAGTTATAACTCGGAATTTTGGTTGTAAAGTTCCGACTTATAACTCGGAATTTTACATCAAAATTTCAACTTATATCTCGGAATTTTAAAATTCTGAGTTATAACTCGGAATATTGGATGTGAAGTTCCGAGTTATAACTAGGAATTTTAAAATTCTGAGTTATAACTCGGAATTTAGAATGTGAAATTCCGAGATATGTCGGAATTTGAAATTCCGAGTTATAACTCAGAATTCAGAAGTTTTATTTTTTTTATTTTATGTGTCCCTTCTAGGGCTTCGTAATAATTGATTTTTAGAGCATACAGATTTTTTTTATTGATGGGGACTTGTTAAAGTTTGATATATAATAGAAGAATGTTGAACTTATAGTTATTTCACACACCATCCGATAGAAAATCAATACTGCTACCTCCATGGGCGTACCAGTACTTTTCAAAGGGGCTCAAAATAAAAATACGAAACTTCTTGGACAATATCTAAAAGAAATAGAAACCCAACAGGCTTCCTCATTGTCATGTCAGCACACAACATTGTTTTCAAGGGTGTCAGAAATAAAAGCGAATCTGACATTTTTTTGGACACCATTTAGAAGAAAATCGAAATTGTGACGCAAAAAGCATACCCAAGTATCTTCAATAACGTACCCATTCTTTTTCCGATTGGGTCTAGGCGAAAAAAAACAGAACATATTTTGAAATTTCTTTTACATGCGTCAAAGGGAACCTAGAATCGTGACTTTCATAGGCGTACTATTATTTTTTTCAAAGGGGTCGAGAATGAGAAAATCAAAAAATTGCAAAAAACACTGACTGAGTAGAAGTGCCTTCTTGGAAATACATTTTTTTTATTCGGGTTTCAGCAAAGTACGGAAGAATCGAATATTCTTCCACACTATCCGATAAAAAATCAATACTGATTTATTTCTAGAGGGGTCGGAAAAGAAATCAGAAATTTCAGTGACACCAAGTGGAAATAAATGGAATTGTGACGCAGAAGAAAAGCTATTTTTCAAAGGCGTGTGAACGTACATACAGGGTAGGGTGTCCCAGCTAAATGTGTCACCGCCATTTATCTTCGTAATTCTCAACATATTTTGGCCATTCAAAAACGTTCCTGGAATAATTTTTCACGAATTTTTTCAATCTGTGCTCACTTATCAACAAAATAAAGGGTGGATAAAGAAATGAAATGACCTAAATTTTATTCGATAATAATATATGAATGACAGGTGTCAAGAATAATTATAAAACATTCTGCACTCACTTTTTTTTTCATAGCTATCTACTGAAAGAAAAAAAGTTATTTGTAACTAAGTCATAGTGAGCTATGACCTACATTTGAAAAACTGAAGTTAGTGCTGATATCTCAAATTCTAGAAGAGTTGGTATAAATTTCATATCATTTTCGAAATCACTTCAAAAAATTGTCATGAGAATGTGAAATTCCTATTTGAATATTTTCATAAATAAAGAAGTTACGGAGGAGACATGAAAATGATCAAATTCTGTTTTTTGCGTATAAAACAAAAACGGAAAAGATTTTATCAAAATATTTTTTCACATTATACTTGGCCTTGACAAACTCCACATTTGGTGTCATTTAACCGACCTCGTATCTCTCACCGTTAAAAAGATACCCATAGTGAGCATGGTAAGTGGGACACACTGTATACACAAGTATTTTTCCGATTGAGATTAGCGAAATTTATAGAAAAATGTAGAAATTTTTAAATGTCTTCGACGTACATCGATATTTAACCAAAATCGCGATCTCCATAGGCGTACCAATTTTTTTCCAAGGGGGTCAAAAATAAAAAATAAAAGAAAATCGCCGACTCACCGGCATCGATGACCGCCTGCACCTGTGACTGATTACCCGCCGTGATGTTCGAAAGGAACCACACCGCCTCTTTCCTGATCTTGTCTTTGGGGTGGTTCAGGAGCGAGGGGAAGTGCGACAGGGCGTCGCAGTTCAGCACGACCTTCAATAAGAAAGTTATTATTATTATTATTATTATTATTATTATTATTATTATTATTAAAAAGTGATAATGGGCTGAGGTGTGAACCTATAAAAGCCCATTTATACATGACATAGTTGTATGGTACACATAAAGAAATATTATATATATATATATATGTAAATAGCTACTAGACAAACAATTAGATTAAAAATAAAATTGAAAAAACAATTGAAAATGTTGAATAGAAATTGAACATTTCGAAATAAAATAGACAGATATAATGCGATGCAAACTGAAAAAAAAAAAAAACAATTTACTCAGTAATACGATCTAATCGACTTTTGAATGATGATACTGAGGGTGCATTAACTATGTCTGTATCCAGGTTGTTCCATGCCGAGAAAACACGATTTACTATGAAGTTCTGCCGATTTGACGACCTGAAATGTTCCTTCTTAAGTTTGAAATTATGTCCTCTTAATCGTGTATTATAAATTCCATCAACTTTCACACATTTTGGACAATAAACTACTCAACAAATAAAGTGGCCCACATGAATATTTCACCCAATTTTTAAACCAAATATCATAAAAATTCTAGTCCGATTCTAAAACGGTTTGCTCCATGTTGTGAAATATCAGAATGAGATTTGAGAAAAATATACTTGATTGTCTAAGAAACAGAATTTCTAATCGACAAAGCATAGTATTCAAAATTAAATAAAAGTGTATATCATAAACATACAGGGTGATCCACGGTGGATGGCATATTAGAAGTATCTGAAGAATAAAAAAACAGAACATTCTGAAAATTGGGATGCTCTTATAATGGAACATTTTCTATCCGTGTAAAATATTTTCATCGATACAGTGTTGCCACTTCTATCAGAAACAACTAGCAACTTAGTTATTTTAAATGGAGCACCCTGTATTTTATTGCATTTTTAGATTTTTCCTGAAGAGCTGATTCCATCAATGTATCACACTTGGGGTCTACCAGGAATGATTACAGAGATATAGGGTGTTCAAAATCGAGATTTTTCAATTTTAGGATTTTTTTGTGTCGAAACTATTCATTATCGATCAAAACGGCTTACATGTCCCTATCTTAACTTTCGATTGACTATCTACTGACATTTATTTGGAACAGATACAGGGCGATCAGAATTCAAAATCTTGAAACACCGCATTTTTTCCAATTAAATTCCAGTAGATAGTGAATCGAAAGTTAAGATAGGGACATGTAAGCCATTTTGATCGATAATGAATAGTTTCGACACAAAAAAATCCTATAATTGAAAAATCTCGATTTTGAACACCCTATATCTCTGTAATCATTTCTGCTAGACCCCAAGTGTGATGCATTGATGCAATCAGCTTTTTAGGAAGAATATAAAAATGCAATAAAATACAGGGTGTTCCATTTGAAATAACAAAGTAGCTAGTTGTTTCTGATAAAAGTGACAACACTGTATCGATGAAAATAATTTAGACTGATAGAGATTGTTCAATTATCAAAGCATCCCAATTTTCAGAATGTTCTGTCATTTCGTTCTCCAGATACTTCTAATAGGCCATCCACCGTGGATCACCCTGTATATGTATAACTAAATTAATAATATTCAGGATGATTCCGGTTTTCAGGTACAAACTGAAATGGGTGATAGATCTCAACATTTCAATTAAAATAGTTCATATCAACATTTGTTCGATCTCGATCAGTAGCGGATCTACAGGGGGTCAAAGTTTAATTATTTTTGCCTAATAACTAAAATATCTCGCTCACTTTTGAAGATATTAATTGGAAATTTGGTGTGGTTAATACTTCATAGGAATTCATCATTTCAAGCTATTTAGAGATTTTTTAGATCTACAGGGTGATACGTTTTTGGAGGTATAGGCATCCTAATCCCCCCTAAACTTCTTCGTAGTACGCCTCTGACATTGTCTAGTTACCAAATACGGTGGACCGTTCAATTTATAAGCTTTTTTGCCTCTAAATTTTTTCCGAGAAACGAACCGTTTGCGAGATAAGTAAGCATAGTCCTTCTAAAACATGTTAATTTTATTGATATTTTTCTCTTCAACTTTATTCTTGGACAATAATGGAATTGACAAAAGAAATAATCACTTTCCGCAAGAACATTCTTACCGACAAGTTGAATGCTATTTTATTTTTTAATTCTCTCAAATAATATTGAAAAATATATGGGATGAGGAATAGGGATACAACTGGATGGCAGATAAAGTCTTTAAATTGAACAATCCACCCCTTTTTGGTGCTGACCGCGAATTCAGAATTCAACAGTGAAAAGTGAATAGATATTTATGTATCAAGGGAATTATTATAAGGGCCTCAATTACGCTAGAGGTTATCATTTTGGAGATATTTTCTATATAGATCTATGTTACTTAGCTCCTAGGGCGCTAAGTGAAGTTGCTGAGAACTTAACAAAACCAAGTATTTGGTAGGTCTCGTCAAAATAAAATACTTTTTTCCCATGAATTCTTTATCAAAAAATGATTTGTTCTCTGTATTTCAACACCCTGTATCTCCGAAATGAAGCATTTCCAGACACAAGCTTATATAGACTTCATTTCTCAAAATTGTCTCAGGAATACTTCACTGGAGTACAGTTTCACATACAATAAGGAATTATAGCTATAAGTTTATCCATATGTATATATTCTCTGATATTAAAATGTTGTTACATGCATTTTTTTTCTTTATATGTATAAATTTTGCTCTGCTAGAAGTGTATCACTATGAATTGAAGTGGGTGTTTGTACCCTATGTCCATTGTCCATCTACGGCTATGATTGATTTGACAGAGAATTTAACCTCTAAAATCGTATCTGACAATCAGGCGCTACTAGGGAAATTGAAAAGACAAAGAGCAGAATATATGTCTTATTCTTTTATTCACTTAAACCATTGTATTATAGAAAATAGAAAAGGACAAAAGTTCAGCTGTGTCCGAAATCTTATCAAACTAATACCATCCAGTGACTCTAGGTAGAGGAAGTCTGATAAATTTTATTGAATGAAATGTATCCCAAGAATACAGGAGAATCCATGAAATTGGTCGATTCTGATTGTTTCTTGAGAACAAGAGTGGAATAGTCATATGTAATACCACAAGTGATACTGTTTCACCGGAAATATTCGGCGATTGTTACAACAGCTTGTTGCCTTATAGTTTCGCGAATGAAAGTTTTGGAACAACAATGAGCAAAATCAAAGCAGCCAGCTTGCGTATATCAATCAACGGATATTTCCAGGAAAAAAAGTGTCATAAGTTGTATTTCTGAGACTTCGCTTCGCGAGAGTTGCGCACACAGCATCCATCATTCAGACACCCTGTATAATCAATCAAACTCACTCTTGAATATCATATAGAGGGTGTTGGTCCCTATAGTTCTCAAGAGCGAGAGCAAAATAGACAAAAAATGGTCGAAGAAATACCTGCGTCTGTTCGTCGGTGCCGGTGACAATGTTGCCGACCGCTCGGAGGGCGGCCGTCTGCACTTTGACCTCCTTGTGGCTGAGCAAAGGGATCAGCTTGGGCACGACGCCGCTCTCGATCACCATCTGGATCTGGTCGTTGCCGCCGTCTGTGAGGTAGCTCAGCGCCCACACGGTATCCACTAGGATCTAACGGAGAGGGGGGGGAACGTTATTTTTACACTACTTATTCTTCCCAGGACAGGTCATCTTGGATTATTTTTTGAGAAATAAGGAAATCATCCATCCACTATTGAATTATATACAATCTGCATAATATTTCATTACGTGTGAATGAAATTATCATAGACCTACGCGCAACCTCTGCAGACTTGCATATAGAGCAGCAAACTGCCCATGCCAAATACCTTGGTATTTGGATTGATGAGAAATTAACATGGGAAAAGCATATTGACATCCTCATAAGAAAAGTATCTCCCATTATTGTTGCTTTAAGAAGATGTACTAAACTTGGTACATACAGGGTGTTGCGAAATTCGACCGACAACGCTCGACAGGTGATAGCCCTCGTGATTTCATAAACACTGAGATAAGGACATACGGTCTTCAATTGTTCAGTTCTCGAGATACAGGGCGTTGAAATTGAGAAATTGAAAAAGTTTTTTCGCAATATCTCAACAATAATTGAATATAATGCATTCAAATTCGGTATATGGTTTCATCTTTCAATGGTTAATTTTTTGACATTCCGAGAATTTTATCCAGATGCTATCTAGATGCGCTACAGATGATTGTGATAACTTTCCCTCCCATCTATGAATCTCCCTTTTTTTTTCTTCACTGTTTTCCCCCCTTCTTGGTCACTATAATATGAGTACTGTTATTTTGAGATATCTTATGATGATATGATGATAATATATAAGTTTTGTTCACTATTTTCAATTTCAATTATACAATGAATGATCTTATACCAGGAATTACTGTCTGATCATTCATGTCATTCCTACTAGAAAATTAATTATACTTTTTACATATATATTATTTGAATAAAATATATCAATGGAGACAAGAATGTAATGCAATAATTGAAATAAATAAATAAATCATGACGTTTATTGGCATAAGTTACGACAACGTTTTTGAACTCAACAGGTTGTAAGCTTGAGTACAGCGGTGTACGTATGTCGAGACACATTTGAATCTGCTAATTCAGAGGCATGCAGTAGGTGCTGAAATGATATCGTTTTGCCATTGCCAAATATTCAACAAGCCAGGAAGACGTTTGAATTCGCAAGCACGAAATCTTGTATCGAATTTGATACAATATTTCACAGAAGAGAAAGATATTCTTGACTACCTTCAACTGACTATTTTACAAAAAAACACATCACTCTTGGAATTTTGGAAGAAGAACTCAGAACTAAAACACAAAATTGATCTGCTGTCCGACGAACCTTCATCACGGTAAATAGATCTCTTTGGAAAAGACAGTTCGTCATTTCGTCGGTCGGTGATCATATCTCCGAGTCATTTTTCTAGATATTACATTATTTCGGACGAATCAATATTGAAAAGATATTACATTATTTCCAAATCTGAAAATTACCGACGTGAAATTTTAATTTTTTAACAGTAGGGACACCTGCGTTGTAGGCATCTTTATCATTCTTTTAGAGTAATCAAATATCTGATGTCACTTCTGTCAGTGTGATTCTGTGATTTGATTTCAAAAAATTGCGAATTTAGTGGTTATTTAGTAATATACGTAACCGCGAAGTCGAATGGAAGATGAAATAATTTGCAGTTCTTTCTCGGAGACGGTATTATTGACTCATTTTTAGGAACTATAGCACAATAAAATCCATCAACAGTGTATAAATATGTGATATACAGGGTGTCCGCTAGAAGGAGGTCAATCCATTAACCATATATATTCTTTGAACAGAAACAATATGAGTTTCTAATTCCATTTTTCATTTTAGCACTTAATATTCGGTATACAGGGTGTCAAAGTTGGGAATTGAAAACTTTTTTAATTACTCGCGTATTTAATAAGATATTAATCTCAAAATTGGTACATTACTTCAGCACAAAGTGTGAGGAACAAAACACAAAATAACTGTCAAATATTCAAAATACTGGGGGTCAAGTACACACTTACCCCCATATTTTTTTTGCACGTGCGCTAATGACTTCCAATCTATTTTTTTTTCAAGTGTTCAATCATTTTTGAGTATTTTTTGTCTCTTGTAAAATTTCGATAAAATTATTTGTTTATAAGATAATTTGAAAAGTACTGATTATTGTTTGATGCCTATGCAACTAACGGTAATCTCATATGTATAATATTCACATACTCCTATTTATTTCGTCGAAATTGGGAGAGGGCGTAACTTTTTACGTACGAAAATGTAAATATGGAAATACCGGGTGCTCAGAGCGAATGTATTAAAATAATTTTTCAAAAAAAAAATGGTAGAAATTCAACGCGTTTAATTTAATTTCCAACGTTGACACCCTGTATATTGAATATAAAGGGCTAAAATGAAAAATGGTATTTAGAAACTCACATTGTTTGTGTTCAAGGAATATATGGTTAATGGATTGACCTCCTTTTAGCGGACACCCTGTATATCCGGGAAAAAAGTACACACTTTTTTCCCACGGGAAAATAGTAATTTATGAAAAGTGATATTTTATAACCGGCCAACTCAGATGAAATGTCGAACTTTTTTACCGTCAAAGAAAAAAAAAGTGAATGAAAAAATATGTTCATTTCAAAACATACACTTCCTGCATCATTCCTAATTCATTGGTGTGATGCCTTTTGTCCTTGAGCTGACCAATCATAAGGCACTAATACGTCAGGGCCCCACCTTTATATCTGGCTTTTTGATATATGGAATGAAATATGCTGATTTCAAAATGCAACAGAATCGATTCTCTTTTACTTCAACTAATAATATTGATTATGCATTTAAATGTAAATCATGCTTCAAGGATTGGAGAAGATTTGGAGGGATTTAAAAATCATTTCTCAGAATTTGAAACTCTGAGAATAACTTTTTATTGTATTTTCATCTGTTGCATCGGTCAGTACACAGAATTGATCATTAATGACCCCTATTAACAATCAATTTCTCTAATAATGAATGATCATGGTATACTTCCTATAATTCATGGTTTTCAAGATGCAAATATCATGGTAACATACAGCCTGTATTTTTTTATCCTGGATTCTTCCTTATTTTCTGAATACATAGGTTATTGTTTCAAAATCTTGTAGTTGGTTTTTCACCAATTTCCAAATATCTGATGAACATTTTACTGGGGTAATAGATGTCATGTATCTATTCAACTACTCCAATTTGGTTGTGACTTGTGAGTAATGAAGTTTTTCATTACACCTATGTAGGTATAGCTGTTTCTGGTACATGTTTCAACTATATTTTAGAATGGTCCCATCCACAAGAAATTTTGAAACAGGGCTCACACAATGCCAAGTCACTGATTTCAATCAAATGGTTCAATAAATCATGTCTTTCTACCACTGCTGAAAAATTGCACTTTTTTGTGAACTTTCATTGCATAATTATTCAGTTTCAAATACCAAGATACTAATAAATTTGTTTGTAAAAGTATGAAAAAAGTGACCTGTCTACTAATTTCAATTAAGCAGTAAATTACTGCTCAGCATCAGAAAGAAAGATGTGAATATTGATGAAAATGAAAACTTTAGGTCAGTGAAAAATATTTTGGAAGATGGCTTGAAGTTTCATCATTGAAAACATTACTTTCTCAAGTTGAATTACTGTATAACTATGTGATGTATTCTAATTATTGATGGGATATGAATACATCTTCAGCTTTGCCAAGAGAACTTGTTGTCTTCAGGAAATGAAGGTTTTTTGATTAATTGATTAATCATCAAATCCTCTTCTTTGGATAGTTGTAGAAAACAATTTTTTGATTGGTTAAATAGAAAGTACTTCTTACAAATAAAATTATGTTAATTTTGGCTACTGATTAAATCATCAATAAATATTACTTTTGGAGTTACAATCTAAAGTAATTTCAATGGCAATTTTGGTGTAGAAGTGATGGACATTTATTAGGAATTGTGGGAATTTCAATATTTCATAATGAAACTTAGAGGAAAATCATGAGATTTCAAGAAGAATAGTGGGAATTAAAGAGGAATTGTGCAAATTCAAGAAGACTAGTACTTGTGGGAATTCATCCTGTACATTAATGGAGACTGGTATACAAAATACACATTGGTGAAATGACCCTCGGATGTATTCCTGTTGTATAATAGTATGTTATTTCACCCACTGAAATGGTTTCACCTAGAATTTCACTAGTAGAATAAAATCTGTTGGTATTCAGCAGCTTCCTGACATTGCAATTTACTGTTAAAATGTGCAGTTTTTTTCTGAAAGTCCTACTTTATGGTTTAATCAGTACCACCAATATTTTAACCAAGTGTCTACTTACATACTCTAGTCTAGTAAATTTTTTCATAGAAGGTAATATTTTTTAGAATTAGTTTTTTCAATGTTATTTGTCGATTTGAAAGAATTGGGATAAGTTTATCTGTTCAAATACTCCATATAGAAACACTTACATTTACATCTGTATGATGGATAAGTGCATTAAGAGCAGGTAACAATTCCTCTATTGTACGGATCTTTGGAGGAGGATCTTTATTCCTACAAAGATTAACAATCACCCAAGTAACATTCCTCAAGAAGGAAATTGGTATTTCAGGTTTGATAAAGGACAGCAAAGGCTCTACCACACCCATTTCAATAACATAGTCCCTGAGAATGGGTCCATCACCAATGATGTTTCCTAATGCCCATACAGCCTGTTCACAGACATTTTGATGGGGGGAGTGTAACAGCATGAGGAATAAAGGTACTGCTCCTGCTCCCACCACTTTGTTTGTTTGCTGTGAAGTGCCAGATGCTATATTTGTAAGAGCCCAAGCAGCTTCGAATTGCAATGAGGGATTATCTTGTCTTTCTAAACATCTCACGAGAATTGGAAGAATTCCACTAGCAATCAATGTGTCAATGGGTGGATTTCTATCTGAAGAAAGCAGTTTTCTTGCTGACTGCACTGCTATCAGCTGCATTGGGGGATTGTCATCTGCATTAGCTTCAGCAACCAGCTGCTCTAAGTTTGTATTTGATAAAGACTTCTCAATGTCATCTTCATCAGTAGAGTCAATGACTGGTACATTCCGCCTTTTTTGCAGGGTTTCTTCTCGTTTATTTTTCCTAAGTTCGACCGTGACCTCATTTCTTCTCCTTCGCATCTCCTGAAATGCATGAAATAAGGATTTTTAACCAATTTTCCATGGGTGACCTTAATTTATATTTATTGAAAAAAATAACAAAATATGATGTGTTACGTGAAACTGGAAGTAGAAGTTTTCAATTGATGAAGAGAAAAATACATACATCTTGATCTTTGCCTTTGTTCTTGAAGTTTTGGATACGGTTCTTGTTGAAACTTGGGTCCGCCATTTTTTACAGTTTGACACTGTGTGGAACTGCCAAACACGAGGAAAAAGCCGGGTAATTTCTGTTTTCTCAGCTAAATCAAAATTTCGCTAAAACATTAGGTATGATTAGCAAAACTGTTTCAGTGAAATCTCACTAGCATGAAAATGTGGCGTAGTCTTGTTGATAATCACTTAACAAAAATGTTGAGAAATCATCAAAATTCTAGGGATTTTCTGTTCATTCCGTTCATCATGTTATATGTACGTCAATGTCATGTCAATGTCATATCAATGTCATCTTTCATCTTTCTTTCATGAAAGTTTTGGCAGAGAATGATGACATTGACAAATAATGACATATACCACAATACCACAAATGACATGCAACATGCAAGTGAGTTGTTTTTTCGTAGTTTTTTCTTGTCGAACCGGTCGAACCCACAGTCGACATGCAATAGGTCGCGTGCAAGAACTGTCAGATGACCGACCCTGGAGGCAAAACATATTTGTTTACAAGTGATCGAAATAGTTTTCCACAATTATTTTGGCATATGAATCGTATTTTTCCGCTATTCATCAATTCGCTAATGCCATCACATTGTGCTGTTATAAATGCACAAAAACTGCAGCGGAAGATGAAGAAATCCGGATGGTACATTATGATTCAAAAGTAAGTATACTTACTATAGTCACTCACATAGTTTTCATTTTTGAAATTTGGTTATTTCTCTGATTTCTTATCGGAATTCCTTCTGCAATAGGATCAGCTAATAGAAATATACCTGAAATTTCTAGAATAATGCAAGAAGATTGGATTCATGCAATCAATCGGTAGGACTGGCCTGACATGCTGACGATCGTGTGTGTTGTAGACATTTTCAATCTATTAGCAGCATTAGCTTGTATTGCAGAAGTGGCAGAAGGCAGAAGGAATTTTAATGAGGAATGTCAACATTTCATAATGCTAACTATGTGAGATTACTATTTACCTGAAAACTCATATTCCGCCTAGTCTCTTGCTGCATTTTTTGTGCATTGTACAACAGCACAATGCGAAGGCATGCTTGAATTAATGAATAACGCAAGAAACACGATTCGTATGCCAAAATATTGTGAAAAACTATTTCAACCTTTTGATTCCTCTGTAACCAACTGGAGGCAAAATATTGAAACACAAACGTCACTTTACTTATTTGTTTACAAGTAATTGAAATAGTTTTTCACAATTATTTTGGCATACGAATCGTATTTTTCCGCTATTCATCAATTCGCTCATGCCATCACATTATGCTGTTGTGAAATGCACAAAAACTGCAGCGGAAGACGAAGTAATCCGGTTGGTACAATATGATTTAAAAGTAAGTACCTACTATATATAGTCACTCACATATAGTTTTCATTTTTGAAATTTGGTTATTTCTCTGATTTCTCATCGGAATTCTTTCTGCGATAGAAGCTAATAGAAATACATCTGAAATTTCTAAAATAATGCCAGAAAATTGGATTCATGCAATCAATCGGGAGGACTGGTCTGACATGCTGACGATCGTGTGTGTTGTAGACATTTTCAATCTATTAGCAGTATAAGCTAGCTTGTATTGCAGAAGTGACAAAAGGCAGAAGGAATTTTAATAAGGAATGACAACATTCCATAATGATAACGAGATTACTATTTACCTGAAAAATCATATTCTTTAGTCTCTTGCTGCATTTTTTGTGCATTGTACAACAGCACAATGCGAAGGCATGCTCGAATTAATGAATAGCGCAAAAAACACGATTCGTATGCCAAAATATTGTGAAAAACTATTTCAATCCTCTGATTCCTCTGTAACCAAGTAAAAAAGTGAGGTTGTGTTTCAATAATTCACAGAAGAATGAGGTTGTGTTTCAATATTTTGCCTCCAGGGTAGGTCATCGTGCACGCGACCTATTGAATAAGGGTGGAACCTCAATGAACTTTAAATGAACTCCACTGGTGCCAAACTGTCGTTCATCAGTCATGACATCAGGTGATGACATCGAATTGAGTCATGTTTCTTGATGTTCCTCAAACATAACAAGACACGACACGAGAGCCCAAAGTCACCAAATCTAATTGACAGATTGGCCAGAGTAAATCACGTGATACACTATGGATGCATGCGCATTCGCTTGTAGAAAAACTTGAGAATTATTAATCAATTAACGAGATCCCCGGGGAACGCCCAGGGTCTTGGGAGAAAGAAAGAACGTCCTTGATGAAAGCCTATCACTACACAAATGATCACAGTGGGCTGAATACCTGCTATTAGTGGACTAGAATAAAACTCCCTGAAGTCCCTGACCAAACTCAGCCTCCACAATTTTCTACGAGAAATAATAATAAAATCACACGAATCTCAACATATCACGTGATTGGAATGGTTCGAAAGATTTAGACACTCTGAGTAAGAACATATATTTTATCATATATATGTTTTTTTGAATTTCAGGTTCGGAGATCATGGTTCTTTCGACAAAATTTGGGAATTCAAGATAGCGGAACAAACAATATAGCGGACGAGTTTTGTAATTATGATCCGATCCTTTCCATTTTAAAATTTGGAAATTCAAGATGACGGAACCAATATGGCGGACGAGTTTTGTAATTCTGATCCGATGTTATTCAAAATTGGTATCTGATGGGGTCGGGCCGAACATTGGACTCACTCGCAGGAGGAGCCAACTCGATACGAAGCGTATGGTAACGTTTGCCGGATCAGCTAGTCATAGATTAACGACTCCTCAGCTAAAATTTTAATAATTATTATAGGCAATATATTACATTTACATTACATTACATTAAAGTTTTAGTACCTATCTCTTCTTCTTCTTCTTTTGGGTTTATTGGATTTCTGTCACCTCTCGGTAACAATTTCTCCAGATCAGGTAATTAATTTTTTCAATTTTTTACATATGGTTATGTTATAATATTATCTCTCGACTCGAGCACTAGAGACACCGTAGTCCGTCACCATGCCCGGAAGCCGAGTTCATCAATGTCCAAAGATTCTATCGTATGTGCTCATGCTGAGCACGTTTGATTTCAAGTATGGCCCCTTTATCCGTTGAATCCGTCACCATCCGGCCTCTATACCGGCGTAGAGATAAAAGGGCTTGATAATTTTCACACACTCTTATTAAACTTCACAATAAATATTGGATTTTAATCCAGATCAGGTAATAAGAAAAATTATGGACTTGCACACACATTAACCTGACTTTTGACCTGGAGACGCCATGTGTCTCCTTCCATGGTCAAAAGGCGAATCCAGTACCTATCGTAAATTATTGATAATTACCTATATAGTATCATATCGTACCTATCTATATACACGTTTATATATCGTTTGTGCCTGCTGTACCTGCTGAACTTTTTTTTCTTCATGACTTTCTCTGTTTACATCATACCATGAACAGAGACAACTATGGGAAAAAAATCAACTTTAGCAAGTTCAGCAATACAAACGAACAGGGCCTGATGTATACCTATACCAATATATTAGAAATCCAACAAAACTAACATTTGACAACTCCGCTTTTATACGCAGAATAACATTTTATAGAAAGCTGCATATTAATTAAGTCAGCGACGAACCTCGGAAATTCGCAACAGCGGCGACAGATGGTATCCCAGATGGTATCCCAACTAACTAGATAGTAGATACCAAGACCAAGCGTTACCGTCTAAATATATGGGCGGTGTAGATCTAGGGGACAGCATTATGAGTTTATAAATCTACAGTGTCTCTGAAAAATCTTGATACAAATCACTATAGATACAAAATGGTTCGCAAGCCACCTAGCGGGTATTCTCGAAAGCTGTCAGAGCAACCTGTGTAGTCTGTCTGGTTACTTCTCAAGTGTTTAAGTTATTGCCGTTAGATGGAACAACGTGTTATATTCTTCAAGGTTGGTAGAATTGATGATTCATTTGTAGATTAATCATCAATTTTACCAATCTTGATGAATCTAATTCTATCAACAGTACCAACCTTGATAGTCTGCTTATCAATATCTTGTCTTTGTTACCTATATATCTACAATAAATGCATCATTATATGTATAGATTCGCTCTACCGCGTGAACGAAAGCTTTTTGGAGTGCCAATGCAAAAAAATAAAAAGTCGAAATTTCGACTTAGTGAGTCGAAATTTCGTCTCATTGAGTCGGAATTTCGACATTATGATATCTCGAAATTACGACTTCCGGAAATGCCACTTAATTCAAGTATGACGGTCAATTCGAATCTATATATCCTTACTTATAACGATATATTATTGTTTAGCAATATCGGTGGTGTGTACAAAACTAATACAGGGTGGAGAATAACTGGAATAAATTAGCTAGCGGGGTAGTGAATGTCTTTTCTAAAAATTCCCGAAACGTTATTCGATGTATATATTTACCCACATTTTGCAAGCAATATGAAAAATACCTTCTGGGGGTAGCAGAACCATATCCATGTTCTAATATTTTTATTTGCAGGAATTGTGTTTAACCCTCTGAATAGATTTAATTTTCAAGTTATTCACCAGTTTAATCCTCCCAAAATTAACCATATATCATATATCCCTACTTATTTCGGCAAAGAATACTGAATTTCTAAAAAAGACAATGGGAAGTTACTTTAGCTAATGCCTCAAAGTGTTTCCTCGAAGTGATCACGACCTATTTTTGAATCCACTGAAAACAAAAATTATTCGATTCCATAACTATATCAGAATATCAACTCAACCATAGCCAAACATTTCTTTATCAAACAAAAACATATTTTACTTTGCATTTTTAGTACTTTCAAAAGGTCTCTTATATTTTCAGTAATAGAAACGGATTCAAATCAAATAAGGATTTGCACAATATCAATACTCGTAGGAAAAATGAAATACACGCACCCTTGCGGCCAGGTATAGAATGACACAGAATTCTCCGAATTATATAGGCCTCAGAATATCTAATCATCTACCTCATGATATCAAAACACACACATTAATATAAAACATTATATTCGGAGATATATG